CCTGTACTACTGCAGGAGTTCAGAGTCTGGGATGTGAAAATTATCCCAAAACAGTGAACGCGAAAGCATCTAGAAGAGTCAACTGCAGCAGAGGATCCTGTATCTATCCCTACACCATGTTTTCTAATGCCTGTGTCCCACTTTCTCCTCCAAGTCTTATGCAAGGAAAAAAATATAATGATCATTATATGATTTCATTTATGATCTGCTTTAAGTTAAAGTGATACTTGTGTAATCACTCCATGGATGCTTGTCATGTAAAAGTTAGAAGATTTTTTTAAACTCATGTAGCAAGGGGAAGAGTCTGAGGACTTAACAAGCAATGCCCAAAAGGAATAAAAACTAAATATGATTATTTTGCAGAAACAGAAATAACAATTTCAAGTTAATTAAGGATGTATCTACTCTCATAAATCAAAGCAGATTGCAAGGTAAAAAGCTATTCAGAATCTTTTCCTATTAACTACTAAAATATTTATTGGTCCTAGAGCACTAAACAGTTATAAAAGCTGTGAGATGCAAGCAAATATTTCAGAAGCACCTAAGGAACTTAGAAACCTAAATCTTAAATTACTTTCAAATGATATAAGATACTTTGCCATATATGTCCAATATGTATAGGCCTGTAATAATTTTTATAAAAATATCAATTATTTTGTTTTCTAAACGTACCTTCCAAGAGCTGATGATCCCTTAAAGCTTCTGCTGTTAAAACAGTCTTCCCACAACCTGCCATTCCATAAACTGTGACCCAGCCTGGATCACTTCCCAAGCAGCACAGCTTCTGTTTAATAGCATCTACCAGTTTTGGCCGAGTGACAAACACAACTGGTCTCTGTGGCACACCTCCTTCGCAGAGAATTGTCTTAACTAAAGTTAAAAACAAGATACATGAAAGTAAGAAGTAATTTATATATGTGATGCTTCTTCAAACCAAACCAAACCAAACAACTCCCCTAACCCAACTAATTTATTTCATGTCAATCAAAGACAATACTGATGACAATGTAGGTAAGAGTTAGAAACGTATTTAGGGTAATTAAAAGATCTGGTGTAGAGAATTAAAATCTATTAACTAGATCAACTATTGGAATGTAGGATGAGAGATTAAACAGATTACTCTTCTAAAGAAGTGTCAGAATTTTGGAGGCTAAAACTTTTTTTATGTTAGATTCAGCTTCTTCAATATATAAAAATAAGAGTCTTTCCTTCATAAAACAAAAACGTTACAGTTTAGAGAAAACACGAGAGCTTCAGGTGCCCTGTCTTTTAAAATAAACATTACTAAATATGACATTTTCAGGATGACCTACAAAAGTCGTACTGTTGTAACACTCCTGCCTTATTAAATCACGAAATACAGAAATACTGCCTGCACTACTAAAATAAGTGAATGCACCAACTACTCCTTTTTCATTGGAAGAGGTATTATAGATACTCAATTAGTAAGGAATAAAAAATACACCTTGTCTCTACTTTCAAGCAGAGATTGCTGTGGTTATACTGACCATATGAAGTCATTCCATCCATTGAACTCTTTCCATTACCAGGGGAGATGGAAGGGATGCCATCCTGAAGAAGCGCAGCAAGATCTCTGTACCCTTCATGAAGTAGTGCATTATAAAAGGATCTATATGAATTATTATCTTTTGTAAGAATAATGTTTATTAGCATAGCTGCTCGCTCCTGCCGTGTACTCTACAAAAAAAAAAAAAAAAAAAGATGTTTAAAAAAAAGAGAGGACCTTAAAAATCACCAAATTGGTTCATTTCCTTCATAAAACAAAAACGTTACAGTTTAGAGAAAACACGAGAGCTTCAGGTGCCCTGTCTTTTAAAATAAACATTACTAAATATGACATTTTCAGGATGACCTACAAAAGTCGTACTGTTGTAACACTCCTGCCTTATTAAATCACGAAATACAGAAATACTGCCTGCACTACTAAAATAAGTGAATGCACCAACTACTCCTTTTTCATTGGAAGAGGTATTATAGATACTCAATTAGTAAGGAATAAAAAATACACCTTGTCTCTACTTTCAAGCAGAGATTGCTGTGGTTATACTGACCATATGAAGTCATTCCATCCATTGAACTCTTTCCATTACCAGGGGAGATGGAAGGGATGCCATCCTGAAGAAGCGCAGCAAGATCTCTGTACCCTTCATGAAGTAGTGCATTATAAAAGGATCTATATGAATTATTATCTTTTGTAAGAATAATGTTTATTAGCATAGCTGCTCGCTCCTGCCGTGTACTCTAAAAAAAAAAAAAAAAAAGAGATGTTATAAAAAACTGAGAGACCTTAGAAATCATCTAATCTGTCACTCTGTCAAATACAGACTATTTATCACCTTCAACTGTGAAATAGCCTTCAACTTGACCAAGCCCTTAACTCTACCTTATATAATGTGATGAAAACTGCATGCTAGGCATATGCTTACAAATTTGCTGAATCCAGCAATGAGATAGACAGAAAGTATTATTTTTTAAAAGAATGATAAAACATGTGAACAGACTAGGAAGATAAAAAACAGTAAGAGACAATTCTACCTGTTGTCTCACTTTCTCCTCCTCCTGTAATGTCAGTACTTCATCAGAAATCATACGATCCATGATATAAGAGGTCTTGATGTCTTTTTCCAGTGCTTGGCGATTCATAAGTAAATAATTTCTACTCTTCACATCCATTTTTCTTCAGCTTTTAAGAAAAAAGTCAAGGCAGAATCAAAACATAACTTACAAGTACAAGGAAGAGAGTTTTAAAATAGGTTATGAATTTTAGTTTTAAAGTCGGAAAAAGCAGAGCAGCTGCATTAGTAGAAAACACAGTGACGTTTCAGGCAAGTTATACTACAAACTGCAGAAAGCTAAAAAAAATAGTTTGTTTTCTTGTTTTTCCGCTTTCTGCCTTGATAAGGAGACTTTCATACTATTGTTATATGAATTTAATTACACTGTTTGACTCACTAGTCCAGCTTGGCTGGACAGTACAGTAGCATCAAGAAAACACTGGGAAAAATCTAATATGATTCCTTTTCAACAGAGTAAAAAAAGGCATATTAATAGTTAAGTTGTAGTAGATCACAAGCTACTGTGAATACGAATACTGTTCTTAGAATATTATTTAGATACCATATGCTATCATGTTTAATAAAGACTTCCAGCTGGGCATTATTAGAATTAATCTGACTACAATATTTCTCCAGCTGTTCCACTTGGAGGCATATAAAGGAGATATAAAAATAGTTTCAATCTTTAACAACTAGACTGATAGTAAAACTCTTGTGGTCACTCCATGAACAGAAGTTTTCATTAAAAAAAAAAAACAGGTATGTACTGCTAATTTGCGGAGAAAAAAAAATCCTGAGTCCTTTTTCACACTTCCACAAATTTATGTTCATGAACAGCTGCAGAACTAAAGAATCACAGTCTGTGCAAGCTTCTCATACACTAGTAACTTGCTAAATATCTCTATGAAAAGGTCTTTTCCCCTACCACTGCATCACTCAAATTAAACGTTTAAGTCCTTGGATCATGTGACTGAGACAACGGCATGAGAAAGAGGACTGGTCTCATGGCTGACAGCACTGGGCAGAACTTCAATAGAAAATAAACTCCCTGTGTACCAAATTCCATGAGATAAACTCGATGCTGTCTCCAAGTCCAAGACTCCATACAAGTACAGCCAGACCTTAAGACGTGATGGAAAATGGAGCACTTCACACTGTCAATAACTGATCTGTATCTTCCTCTATCAGCATCTGATACACAACTATAAATTTGCATTCTTCCCCTATGTCATTAAAAAAAAAAAAAGCCTGAAGATAAAAGAAGGTGAAAACTGTCTACCATGTAAAGGTTTCCCAGTACTGATCAGCTGCTCCTGAGTGTCCCTAATGATCATCACACTCCGGTGCAAGGACCGAAGGCTCCGTGGGCAATTTCCAGCTCCCACCGAGCATCCTGCACAAGCGCTCACCTTTTCCTTCACTCCCTCCCTCAGGAGCCGGGCAGATTCAGAAGAGCCACCAATGGATAAGCCCGTGATGGAGTGCCTCTTCCGCCGTACTGACAGAATTGCCTATTCTCACTGGAAATTACGCGGTTAGGAAAGTCTTTCACCCCGCCGCACCGCACGAAACCTCCCCAGCCGAAAAACATCCAGGTTAAGAAAAAAACCACAATAATAACCAACCCACGGGCGAAACACACGCAAAAAGAAAGCACCCTACAAACACGCAAAACAAAGAGTCCCCTCGCAGCCAGACACGCCTCCCCGCAGCCGCCGCTACCGGCCGCAGGGAGAACGAAACAGAAACCGGAGCGCTCGGTCAGACCAGCCCCCGCCGCCGCCCCGCCGGGGCTCTGCTCGGCCACCTCCTCCATCACCCCCCGGGGCGGGGGGCGGCCAGCCCCCTCCGCAGCAGGCAGACCCGGAGCCGCGGGCTGCAGCCAGCCTCGGGGGCGAAACCGCCCGGGCATGGCCCTTCCTCGCCCCGTCCTGTCCCGTCTGGCCTCCCGCCCTCTCCGCCGCCACCGCTCACCTGCCGGGCAGCGCGGGGCCGTCAGGAGCCGCCGGCAACAAGTTTTCTTTCGCCTTGCCCTGAGGAGAAGCCGCTACCCCTTCCCCGGGGAAGCAGCGCGCCGCCAGCGCTTCCTCCTTCCGGCGCCCGGGGCTGGGAGAAGAGAAGGGCCGGGCCGGCCCGCTACCCGCCCCGGCCGCCGCCGGTAGCCCGGCCCCCGCGGAACAAAGCCCGGCGCTCCCGCGCCGGCGCGGAGGCCCGGCGGAGCGGCGGTAGCGCGTCTGACGTGGCGCGGCGGGGGCTGAGGGAGCGGCGGCCAACGGCTGCAACGGGCGCGTTGAGGGCTGTGGGAGCGGCGGCCACCGGCTGCAACGGGCGCGGCGGAGGCTGAGGGAGCGGCGGCCAACGGAGCGCGGCGCTAGGCGCTGGCCCCGGCCAGAGGTGGGGCCCCGGGACGTGTCAGCGTGGTAACGGCCCTCCCCGCCTGGCCGCTCTGAGGCTGTCCCGGTGGAGGAGCGTGGCAGCGGCCGGAGCGGGTGCTGAAGGAGGGGGAAAGGCGGCCCGAAGCGTGGCGGGTCGGTGGCGACGAGGCCGCGGGAGGTGCCCGGGGAAAGCGGGTGGCGGCCGAGGTCAGTTTCCCCAGGGCAGAGGGGATGTGGGAGCGCGCTGGAGGGGAGCGGGCAGTCGGTCAGTTTCAGTGTCCCGGGCCCAGCGCAGGCAGGGCGGGGGAGAAGGGGTCTGGGAGGCTCGGGAGGGTCTCTGTGGGGGGCTGAGGGTCTCTGGGGGGAGCTGAGGGTCTCTGTGGGGGGCTGAGGGTCGTTCCTCTGCCCTAGGCGAGGCTGCGCTTTGAAGTTGTCCTTGTTAAAGCTGAGTTGTTGGTCCTGTATTAAACTATTTCCCTAACTACCATTTAGATCTCTTTTTTTTTTTTTTTTTAACTTCATAATACGTGCTCTCGACCCCAAAGGTGTTTTAAAAGTTACAAAATGGCATTTATTGCTTTTTCTTTTTGAGAGCAAGAGATGTTTTTATTTGAGCATGCTTCCTAGTCGCGTGACTCACAAACAGCTTCATGCTCTTGTGTAAAAGGCACTGTTTAAAATATAAATCTGCCACATACGCGACTATGTAAGTATCTTTAAATATTTATATTTTGACATGGGACTAAGCAACAATCTTGCAAAATGGTCCCGAAGGAAGCACAACATTTTTTGTCTTAAATTCCGCTAAACCGAATCCACCAAGGATCCAGTTGATTTTGAGCAGCGTGGTGGAAGATCTTCGGCTTGAAAATGCCACTCTGTACTTCCATTTGGCTAGAACATGAGCTTTTGTATTCCTTGAAACTGGAGATTCATATTGCCTCAATCTATTCAGACCTTCATTTTAACAAAGAGGAAAGTATACCTTTCATCTAGATGCCTTATTTCATTAATCCTCTGTATTTTTATATTCATGGCTTTCTATTAACTGATGCCTGTGGTTTTACAGATGACATGAAATCATTACAACAGAACTATTACTAAATTAAAGCTTGATTTGCAGTCCCATTTCTAAGAAAAAAAAATTAATTTTCCACTTGAACGTGGAGTAGGTAATTTATTTATTTTTTTAAATCCACAAATAAAACATGATAATGAAATTCCTGATGAAATTGCAACAGTAATCAACTATATAAAGAAATATCGTGCTTTCACTTGTGATTTAAAATATATCTTCAAAATGGCTTATTGTACAACAGATGAAATATTTCCAGAAAGGTGAAATTAGCTGACGTCTGAAAACTCAGTTCAGTTTGAGAAAAAAAAAGCAGTGCTTTATAGTATAGACAACAAAAATTTTCACAAAGCCTTATGAAAGTATTACAACATTTTACAAAAGTTCACATAACTAGGAAACATACTAAGCACTGAATGAAACATCTTTGGGGTTTTATTTGTGTAACTAAAGGGCAAAAGGTTATATTTGGGGTGCTTAGAAGTAACTAGTCCTTTTCAAGTTTGTTTGTTTATTTTTTTTAAGTAGCTTTTTTCTTTGCTTCTGCTTTTTAAGAGCACAAAATGCCTGAAGTTAAGCAGAGGAAGAAAGATATTTCTTCATCCAAGACCAATGAGGGTTCACAAAAGGTTGAGAAGCACAGTAATTGCGGGAAGCTGGCAAGTTCCAGGACCAGCAATAATCAGAGTTCTGTTTGGATGGACTCACGGACAACCTTAAGCATATTTTTCTTTGCTGTTTGCTTGGTGCTGACCTGGTAGGTAATCCTCTAAAGTGGATTTTATTATTTTCCTTTGCATTCTATACCATATTCAGTCACAGGCAATATGATCAGTTACATTTGAATAAAATGTTTGGGTTAAGCGACTGTAGAAATTTGCTGAAGCTAGAAGGATCAAGAAAAGAATAGCAGTATTCACAAGTGTGGAAACAGTGGTATAGAGTGAGGGGATTATAGAAGCTTGATCTTTTCTATCATGTTGAAAGTTTAAAAGGTGTCTTGCTCATGAATTGTAAATACCTGCTTTGGAGACTACATTCTAAGTGTGAAGAGCAACTTAATCTGACAATTAAGTACAGCAAGGCTCATTTGGCAGGTAATAAATAATTCAACAGTAAAAGTGATGTAGAGTTTTCTGTAAATAATTTGCTCAGCAGTGTGGTAAAGTGTTCATCGGGTGGAGTCTTCAAGTAAAGGTCAAATATCTTTGTAAAAGATGTTTTAGAGTATCTTAGCAGCATTGATACTTTAGTTCCATCAGAAACTGAGTTTCTTGCAGAAATTATATGATGCAATTCTCAGAACTCTAGTGCAAGAAACTAGTCCAGATTATTACGCTCTAGATAGACTGAAAATTGAGGTAAAACTCATTCTTAGCATCACCCAGATCTCATTATCTAAATCTTTGAGAAACCAAATGACATAGTAGAATAAAATATTTTGATGCTTCTGCTTAATGTTTTAAGTATATCTGTTTATGTCTGTTTGCATGTATCTATCTATAGCTAGCATTTTAGCTTTTATTGCCTAACTTTATAGACTACTGTAGATTTTTTGAAACTTCTAATCACTATTCAATATACTAATAAGTATCAATTTATGAAAGCATAGGTATTTTAAATATATTGTTCTAGATAAAATTTTTCTTACTCCTGAGAGGACGCTCAGCCTTTCTAAATCCAAAGGCTTCGATACGTGATTCTGTGATGCTTTGCAAAGAAGTAAAAAATAGTTTTTTGTGTTTTATTTCCACCAGTTAAATAATGCTTTACCAATAAAATATATTGTGAGGCAGTGCGTTACAAGTATATAATGGCCTCCCTATGTCAGCAGTCTTATCTGATGTTTTTCCTGTTTGAATGGCATACAATGTAAAAACAAAGCACATCTATGGATGTTTCCTTATTTTTCCACTTCCATTGGAAGATAACTCCAGTATTGAAGACAGATCACCTTCATTAAACCCTGATTATTTTTTTTTTTTACTTCATGTTTTGATGTAGCAAATTCTGTGAAGACAAATTCATACAGTTACAGATTGCAGTGAATCAGGTCCAGGAACACTTAATATATGCTAATTATGTAGTTATGTTTACTGTGTATTTACTTGCAATTTACAGGTTCTTATTTCAGCAGTCAAAACAATTTGCTAATATGGAAGAAAAGTACAATTTCTTAAAGCAAGAAGCTGAAAAATTCCTGGATGTGGAAAATAAAGTTAACTTAATTTCTGAAAAGGTAATAATTAACATCTTAATTGGATAGCTCTGGTGAACATTTGACATTGTTTTACTTTGTTGTCATTTAGTTAAATTTAACTCACTGTTTTAAAATAAATTTTCATAATGTGTTCTCCTTGCCTGAGAATAGGCCTTTGGAGAATATTTCATGCGACTTAATGAGCCAATCCATGCCATTGTTAAAGTATGTGAATAGAGTGGTTGTATCTCAGTATTATTTTTTAGACATTAAACTATTTTTAAAAACTTAAATTTATGTACATACTTCCTCCTACCAGTATTGTTCTGTGTATAATTCTAATATACATTGATTTGAAGAAAATTTACAGGCATTTTTATGTAGTAGACCTGTTCTAATAATGTGAAAGACATAATGAAGTGATATTAATATTTTTTCATTGCTATTTTATTTTCTTATCTATGCATGACATTCTCAACTAGAAAATCTTGGGGTGGCTGCTGAATTATCCCCTATATTTTACAGATAATGATGGGAGTACAGCATGGCTTATGCTAGTGATGTTGTTTTAGCACCGATCTCATAATGATGACATTTATACATGATGTAATTTGGATATTTATATATTACTCCAGATTGCAAAATGTTGCATGGGATTTAGGTAGTGTGATATATTTTACAAAAAACACTCAAAACCTAAGATCAAAATAAACCCCCAAACCACCGTGGAAAATAAGGGATTGACAACAAAGAAAACAGCATGTATTCTATAGAAATTCAACAACAAACATACCCTTTTCTGTGACTTTTTCATACTAGGTTAATCAACAATGTTTAAAGGACAAAATAGAAAACCAAATCATATAGGAGCTTTGTAACAAGTAAAGTAGCTTCTAAGGGACTTTATTAAATAAAACCAAGTGGTTTTCTAGTCTTGTTTTCGTTAAGCAGACATGGACATTGTTTTGTGTTATTAATGCAGCTTGAGTCTTCTGAAAGCATCCTACAAGAAGCTGCTTCGTCTCTCTCTCTGATGACTGAGTTTGAGCAGGAAATACCTTCTCTTCATAACACCATAAATGATATTCAGAACAATGAACAGATTCTCTCTATAAAGATGCAGAGCATTAATGAGAAGTTCCAAAATGTTACAAATTCCTGGAGAAGAAGCTTGGATGAAATGAACACAAACACTAGTAGTTTAAAATCTGAAGTGAAGTTCATACATACAGAAGTTACTTCCCAAATTAATGAAGTTGACCAAAGAATCAAGTCCCTTTCAGAAAAAGTAAAAGATTTGGAAGACAGTACAGCCAGAAATGTTAAAACACTTAAAAGGCAAGAAGATGATGAATTCTCTAGAATTGAACAGAAGTTGGACTTGCATGCAAAGGCAGTTGAAAAACTAGAAGAACAACAGAATAGTCTGGTAGCCAAGGACACAGACCTGAATCAGAAACTTGCAAACTATGAACCTAAAATTGAGGAGTGCAAGACCCATTTGCCAACAATAGAAAATGCTGTTCACTCTATTCTTAGATTATCAAGTGAGTTGCTAAGCATGGAGAAAAAGATAGAGGACTTGACGACACAGCTACATACTGTGGAAAATGTTATGTTGAAAACCGTTTCTGATACGATGGCAATGCAAAAGGTTCTGGAAAACATACAGTACAATGACAGCGTATTGAAAGTCCAAAATAAAACAGTGGCTTTAGAGGAAGTAGTGCATGACATAAAAGTATCTTCAAAAGCAAAAGAAATAACTTTAGAAAGTTATAACTTAGAAAATGACCAGAATGGGGATAAGTGAATTTGGATTTAGGGTTTTCATTGATAAAAGAGCACTTTATTATAATAATGTGACTCTTAACATATGTTAAAGGGAGCTGAAGTATTGTCATCAATTTAAATTGGCATTGGATCAGACTGAAAGGCAAACTTACAGAGAGCAAGAAATACTGTGTTGGAGGAGGCAAGGAGTATTTTTTTAAATAAATTAAGGATTATTTTCAGTTTATTTATTAAAAGATCATTTTTTATTAAAGTGGATTTTGAAGCAAAGTATTTAGATTTAAGAAAAGAAGTCAAAAATGGAGCTATCAGATTAAAATTTATATTTAGTTCTCACTACTATTTTTTCTATTTTTACTTTTTATATTATATTCCATGGACTTGTAATACAGTGAACAATTAAGTTATCTCTAGGAAGATATACATGTACCTTGTTTTTAATGTGTTATATACCATAATGTTTTTGTGCTCACAGTACAGACTTCTCAATTGCAGAGTCGTTACTTGAGATCTAGGTATTTTATTACATGTGGGAAAGCACTAAGTAGATTTTTAACAGCTGAAGCCTAGATATAACAGCATTACAGAAAACATGAGTAAAGTAGCCCTTACTGGGAACATTGTCTGATACAGACAGGGGCTGGTGTTATCTTTTATTCCTTTGACCCTATTTCCAGCCTTTTCAAACTTCTTAACATCACTGGCATAGTTTTGTTCTGTCACTGAAGTCTTTGGACTGCATATAGACTCAAGTTCTTATTAACAGATATTCCTGTTAGGTTCTTCTTCCATCATTTAATTTGCAAGTTTGGTGTGATCAGTCACTATTAGTTTGGTCAGGGGGGCATTGTTTGTTTGTTTGTTTGTTTTGGTGCTATTAGAAATACGTTTTAAATTTTTCTTCTGTAGAATGTTCTCTATTAGACACCACATGACATGTCTGGTATTGCTTTGCATTCCAAAGGGAAAAAAAAAAATCTTAGCAGTGTTACTGACATTGTTTCCCAAAGTTTGGTGAACCAAGAGCTCCAAAAGCAATTAACAAAAGGCATGTTTTGGGGGCAGGGAATATCTGATTTATCTATAGGTGTAATAGATCTATTTACACCAGATGTGGCACTACCTCATAGGCCTGAGAGCTGTTCATTGGAATCTGCATCTCAGGACCACCATGAATTTGTGTCTACAGACTTATGTCTTGGTAATTGCTGGTTCCTGATTTCTGAACTCAGGAAAGGAGACACCTCAGAGAACAGTACAAATCCACAACATTTATGACTTAATCAGACTTAAGTTAAGTAAGTCTGGATTTGTACATTCATTTATCTAGAACTCTACTGAACTCTTCAGTAAACAGTGCTGCCCATTCAAAAGCCTATTAAACCAGCATTTCTCACTGCTGGGAAGTCTGTCAGTTTCATATACTATGTATCTGTTTACAGTCAGGTCAATAAAAATGTATTGCAGTGGATTATCCTGTCCTGGTGCATTAATCTAATTCAAAATAAATTGCTCTTCCAAAAGAGAGTATGAATTAAATACTTTGGTGTTCAGTCGTCCATTAAGAAATACTACTCTGTATGGAAATGTGTTTTAAATACTTTTCCAAGTGTGTTTTCACTTCCTGCATGTTTGGGAAAGGGTGGGTCCTCAATTTAATGTCTTTCATCAACCCCAACCCCATTGAAAGGTGAATGTATGTAAGATTGAGCAGGAAACCCTTTTCATTAAGAGGGCAACAACTAGGCAACCAGTACAACTCTCCACAACCTCAATTTTGGTGTTTTGTTTTTAAGCAAGCAGTTCTGTGCTAATGAGGAATGACAAACATTATCAAAAAGTTAAAAATACTTGTTTCTTTGGTGTTATTTTTACTACTAGCATCAAGAAAAGAATTAGTAACTTGAAACTTACTATAGCCTCTTGGAATGTCTATGCCTAGTTGGTGGGTTTTTTTGCTCTCCAAGTTCTAAACTGACTAATTGGGGATTGAACAGGATTGTATCACTCAGGTATTTTCGTTTCTTCCTCTCAAATTTGAAAACCAAGAACCAATCATTAAAAAAAAAAAAAGTGAATGGCAAATTCATTTAAAAAATCCAACAGTAGCATGAACATTCCCTCACTAATGTAGCTGTTACGGAGGCACGCTGTTTAAGGAATATTTTTCCTAGGAAGTATTTTGGTGGCTGTTTGAACAAAAGGGAACCGTGCCTAATTCTTTTGGCTTTTTCTTCTGTGAATGTTATGTTCGAAATACATATTATGGTTACCAAAATCACATCAGGCAATTATGGTCCATGTTGTTAGATAAGAGAACTTTAAAGAAGGCATCTTTCTAAAATGTTTCTGAATGTCCTTCAACGTGTGTCTTCCAGGATCACACACTTTGTATGCTTAATACAAAAATTTCCATAAATCAGAAGAAAATTGCATTTGATGACTTGTGTTTTCAGAGGTCATGGTGGAAGTCATATAGCAGCTTCCTGTAATTTTTGTCATAATAGAAAAAGTAGTAACACCTGAATTTCTTATATATTCAGAAGGGGGAAAAAAAAAAAAAGACATTTTTGGTTGTGTTGCAACAGAAGCGTATTTCCTCAATTTCAATATCAGAATAGTAAGATATTTTTATTACAGTATAGCTTTAATTTTGATGTGAGTTATTAAGCTAGAAATCTTGTCAAATATGTTTATTTGTATCCCTGTAGTGCAAAAAGACTTGGAACTTGATGGAACAAGTGGAAGATCTTCAAATAATTCCTCGCATTAAACATCTGCAGGAAGATATTTATACAATGAAAACAAGGTCTAGCAGCATAATTAAAAACCAAGAAGAACTGCAGAAGAATTTAACAGCTCTCTTCCATGCAGTTTCAAGTGTGGAAGAGAATGCAGCTTCTGTAGCAAAAAATGTAACTCTGACGATTGTGACAGTAAAAACTGACATAAGGCGCATTTCAGGCCTCGTCTCAGATATGACTGCGCTGGCGGATTCTTTGCAAACACTAGAAGATAAAGTAGAAAAAGGTGAAAAAAAGACAGTGAAAAATATAGGTGACCTGCTTACCAGTAGCATCGACCGAAGTACAGACCTACAAAGCTTGGCATCCAGTAACGCAAAAAAAATTGAGCAAGTGAAGACAGCATTGTCTGAGTTAAGGAGCAATTTTAACAAGCATTCGGATAGACTTTTAAATCTTGAAGGTGACAGGGCAAAAGTTCTGAAGACGGTTACATTTGCAAATGATTTAAAACCCAAGATGTACAAACTTAAAAAGGATTTTGCCACCTTCGAGCCATTAATAAGTGACCTGACACTGCGAATAGGAAGATTAGTGGAGGATGTATTACGACGGGAGAAGGAAATCGCTTTACTGAATGAGAAATTGGCCAATCTAACAAGAGTTCAAACTGAGATCAAAGATATGAAAGATGAAATAACCAAGATTTCAGACATGAATTGATCACTGTGAAAAGTCACTGCCTAAAGAACAGTAATGTTTGAGGAGTGTTAACTCTGTCATGTGTAGGACTAAGACAACATTTAAAGGCTTCATTTAGAAGCACACCACAACTTAACTAGAGATTTGCCCTCTGCCTTTGACAAGCACAGAAAAAAAGTCATACTGATTTCAAGGGACAAGCTGTAATGTGAGCAAAAAACGTCTCTGTGTATGTGTGGGATTTTTGTCTAAAGGATGACAGATGTTATATTTAATAAATTGCTTGTTTTGTACAATAAAAGTATTAAAGCATAAAAAGTTCTTACCTTTGGAGCTTGCTTTCATGAAGAAAGTAGGGCCCAAGACAGATTTTCAGCTTTCCTTTCCTGCTCCAAAGGACAGAATTGTAGTTTCCAGATAGTTAAGCAAGGGTTAATCAAGCTGCAGTAGCAATTTAATATTGTCTCAATATATTAACTGTATGATTTTTTTAAACTATAGCACACTCCTTATTTTCTTTTTGTGAATAATCAGTATTTACAGAGGTAAGTACAGTGAAGCAAGCAATGCTCAGAAATAGCACCGATGCCCTGCAGTAAGATTTTCTGTGGGGTTTTATAATTGTGTTAAGTCTTTAAAACACTGAACTTCATGGTCTGAAAGCTTTGAAAGACCTACCAACCCTACTGATGCCTTTCTCCCAGTGTCATGGTATCTGTCCAGGAATTCTAACAGCATTATCCATTTATTGTTTCTTAGCCTGTAAAATGCTATAGTGAACAGCAGAATTAGCAGAGAGAAGCTATTTAGTTTGCAAATTGTTTGATTGATAGAAGCCACTGGCTGTCTTTCTGTGGTGAAGAGCAAGAGTTTAAGAAATTCAAGACATCTGAAGACATGGTAGGCAGTAGACTGAAGTAACAAGCTAACAGGAATGGGTTTGGCTACTTTTACACACCGAAACATCAGTTCAGGCGAGGAATTTCTGCGTGTGACATCCTGCTCCCACATCACTCGGAGTTACAAAAATGCCATTCTGTAACAAAGCCGCGTGGCTATTAAGCTCAGCTATCCAAGGTACTCGTATTTGCTATAAAAAAAGCAGGATGTTTATTGTTTTCACTGTGAACTACATCATTTCTATGTAGAAATGCCAATGAAATTACAACTATTTGTATTCTTACAGCCCATTTTGAAATGATATGCAACAAGCATTTCAGCAAGTACCGGCATAATTGATCTGTAGTACAACCTGATACAAACACAGGGTGTGAATGGGGTGGTTATTCCAAAGTTATAGGGACAGCACGTTTTAAATCAGAAAGCCGATCTCAGCTCCAGTTAACAGCAAGAAAGGACGTTTTCCTCCTTCATGAAACAATATACATGAGCAGCACATACATGATCCATGTTTTACAAAGCACTTTTGAGTTTAGTGATCTCTGGAGTTATCCGAGTTGTATTTGATTCAAAAGGGTGCGCTCCTTTTCGATACAGGACCTTCCTTGCAATGAAAGCACAAATCCACCAAAAGCACCGCTGCTCCCCTGCCCCATCTTCTCCACTTTCCAAACACGCACCACACATTATGCTATAAATCAGTTATCAATGGCAAACTTGACCTTTTAAGATGCATTTTAATACGGCAGTTTTCCCCACATAAGCTTATACAAAATATGAGTGGGTGACCCTTTAAGCAATTGGCATCTTACACACGTTAAACCCCTTCACCTCAAGCAGCCGAACAAGCCTATGGCTGAACATCGATGGAGGCAGCAGCTGCCAGGCAGTTCTGCCCCCCCTCCCCGCTCTCGGATTTTCCACTGAAACACAACACTGAAGCAGCACAGAGATTATTTTCCCTTTCTCAATTACAGAAGAAAAGGGGAACCGCTAAGCTGCCCCCAGTAGTCCTGTCTCAGGTCTACCTCAATAAAATTATCTGAGCATCTGTAAAAAGATAGTTTCAGGTCTACCCTTGAGCAGTAAGAAAATGTATATTGAGACGCTCTTATTACTGCACATACTTAAATACACAAAGATGACCCAATTTCAGAGGAAAAAAAATGAAATGCAGGATTTTGCTCTGGATGTAGAATGACAAGTAAGAGTCTTGAGAAATTGAGCTTATCATTGGATTACTTGACAATCAGACTATCTCAGCCCATAAGCCAAGTTTGTTATGCTCTTCTTCCAGCCTTAAAAGCTGACAGAAGTGCTTCCCTCTCTCAGTATTAGAAGGAACTCAAGATATTTTCCAGCAAGCAAAGTCTATCAAATTAAAATACGCCTCTAAGGAAACTATGATAATCAGTACACAAGAGTGATACTGTTGTTTCAACAAGTTGAACCACATACAAAAGTTAACTTCAACAGCCGATTTAACACCAATGGTTTTGATACAAGATCAAGTCATAGTTATGGCTATATACTTTTATGAGCATTTAATGATTCGTTATATAATTTCAAAGCTTCCCACTCACAATGGGGCAAACATGTACATACTTATAACATGAAATATATTTAATTCAACACCAAAGTACTTGTGCAAATGTTTTATTTAGATTTAGGGAATCTGACTCACTGTATAATGCAGTTGGTATCAGCCACTCTAGGAGTGTGATTAGTGTCACGGTGACAGGGAAATAGAGCAGATTTAGATTTTACTCCACATTTTGAAAGGCAACAATTCAAAATAAGGCTCAGCTTGGTTGTTTGGCATAACGATCCAAAATCTTGGAAGTCAGAAGGTTTTCTCAGGGGGTGGGAAGCTCAACACTGTGTAAAAGTTAGCAGGAACATCAGGCTGCAGAGTGAGATGCAGCCATCAGTGTATTTATGCCGCTCCACGGGCACCTGCTTTAATTGTCCTTCTGACTCTGAGGGACACAACTAAAGGGGAAGGAGCAGTGCAACATACGCAAATGCCAAGCTACGATCAGTATCATCAGCTCCAATGCTGAAAGGCAGCATATCCAAACAGCTTTGCACAAAAGACACTTAAGCTCCAGCTCTACTAAGTGAACAAAGTAGCACTGGATGCAGTGAACCCTTTTACCCTACTAGGCATTTTCTGTCTTTTTCTCAATGAAACTTACCAACTGTGGGTTCTTAACAGGAAAACACAGAAGGCAGCATGCTCATCTTTCTGTAAAAGACTAGAAAAAACACGTTCATGGCCTTAACAAAAGATTGCTGTGACTGTCTCCTCTTGCATGCCTAGGAGCCTAGATGTCTTCACATCAACGTCCAAAAATATTGGTATGGCTTCTTGCAGTGCAGAATGGCATGGTTCAACCAAAACTCAGCATTAAAACTGAATGAAATCACAAAAAACCCCAATCCCCTAACTACAGGAGTACCAAGTGTAGGGAAAAGCTCACCAGTTCGTCAAACTTTACAATAAAAGGCAAGCCATTTTTATTTTACTGTAAAGCTATAGTAAGCTTTTAGTGGTCAGATATCCTCAAGAATCTTTATTATAAACATCAGCTTCTCTTTTGTTATGGTAGCAGCTACTGTTTAATTCCACAGTACAACCAGAAGGACCGAGTTCTTTGGTGCAGTTCAAAGCCAGAAATTAGTCAAAGCAGAAATTAGTCAAGTAAGCATCAGTTACATTGGGATGACCACCCCAAAGCAAAAATGGCTCTATTATGTATAAGGTTCCTTTAATCTCCATGGAAAACACCAATATTAGGACCAGGATGCCCTACCAGACTGCAGTTGCATCTCAGCCACTCAGGAGCTGAGCTACTCTACGGTAACAGCTTATTAAAGGCAAATAAAACAGTGGACTCTAAAGTGCACTGAATTGCAGTTAGTTTCTGCAGTTCTGCAAGGATAGGTTCTTGGCACTTCCCTGTAAAACAGTGAAAGCTCATTTTTGTTACAATCATTTTACATTTCTCTCATTCTTGAAGCGTAGAATAGGCTAATTTTTTTTTGGGGGGGGAGGGGGTGGCGGAATATTTGAGGTATTTGCTGCCATGAAATGAAGCTTACATACGCAGTAGTAAACAGACACTAAGCACTCTGTTTCTCATTTATTTCAGGCAATGACAGTGGCAGAATTTAAACCCTCATATGGCATGAGGGCAGAGCCAATAATGACATCATATAGAGTTTGTTTTCTACATAGTCAAATATATAAAAGTTTCATGAAACTCATCACTGAGACAGCCAGCATAGTCAGTCCATGAGCTGTCTATTCAGTCAGACCAAGCTTCTTCTTCAGAGATTCTGGCATTTCAGGTGGAGGTGGACGAGGAAGTCTGAAATAAACCTTCACAGAATCATAGATGAACCACTGTAGTGCAGTCAGCGTACCAATCATAATGATACGAGCAAACAGACCTTTCCATACACCTGTGGAGCAAAAACATAAAGCAGGAGTAGTGTCAGAAGCCAGGAAAAAAAAGAAAATCTTCCCCAAAACACCACAAACACTTGATCCAAAATACATGGAAGTAACAAGGTACCTTTGAATCCAAGTCTCTGAAGAACCTGGGAAGCAGAACTGCCCTTTTCTTTGTTCAACACAGACACCACAGAGTCAGCAGGATGGGAAACGATTGCACAGAACACACCAGCTGAAAGAATAATTTGACATTAGTTCTGTGGTGTTTTAGCTGTACCATTACTGTGCACACTAAGCACAACAAACTGCAACCACACCTTCTAATAAATTGCTAATGAATTGCACTGCAGTTATGTTAAGCCCTGAGGAGTCCTCATTGCGCTAGGCCTAGAAGCACGCCCTCTGGACTGGCTCTTTGCTGACATACACGCAGTGGGACTGACCTACAACCCTTCATCCTACCCATTGCCACTGGAGAGCCTAGCCTCTGGATCCTGCAACCCCTCTTCTGCTAAAATAAAACTCCTTCTAAATCTTTGAATACTGAAAATCCCCCTTTCATCCAGATTTCTCTCCCCTTCCTTCAACCTTTCCCAGCCTAGCAATATGCAAGTTTTTTTTCACTTAAATCAGCTGCAGTTTCTAAACTTGGACATCAACATTGGTAATACACAGGAGCAACTAAGAGTATTGCCCTACTATGGACTCATTTTCCACCTACAGACTGAATATAGTTTTTTTTTTTTTTATCCCTGCACACTTTTGAAGTTACAAGTAAAATCTACCATTCTAGTTACACCTGATAGTCTGAAAAGGCTTCTTGAGTTGTGGCAGTCTATTAATGAAGTGTAGGACTGAAAGACTCCTTACCAATATAGCCTGCAACAAATGTGACGATCAGCTGCTCTCCTTTTGTACATTCACTTCGTGGCTTGGGAACAACGTACTTGTAGAGAGCTTCAACAGTACGTTCAAAGCAGGCAAATTTCATCATTGTGTATGGAATTTGTCTCATCCATAGTGGAGCAACACCTTTATAGAAACTTAACCGGAGAAGAGACAAACTTAGTTTCATTTTCTCCAGTATTTAAGGTACTTTTTTAACTTAAAAAAAGAGTCAGCTTATTGTTGCTATTGGAAATACAATTTCTAAATACTGGTACTGTTAAGACTTTAAGTGTCTCAATACCTACAGAACAGGAAGTTTTATTAGTTCTCGAGTACTAACTTAAAACAGAAACACAGATTAGAATTTACCCGATGCCTTAACACTGCACAGCTGTTTTTGCAGTCACTTTTCAGATTACACCACATTGCAGGGATGCGGTACACATACCACAAGTGCAGTAAGGCATATGTCTGCATACCAGCCAAGTCCCGATAGCGATAAATGACTTGTATATTTACAGCCACTTCTATCAGAACAGAAAGCTAACATGCAGTTATGATACTCTTACATGCCAATGACTCAAGCATCTTTGACTGTACAACCAAAAAGTTGCTGAATATCTCTGACTGGAACTGCTAGAAACTGAAGTTATCCAGCAGAACTCAGCACAAAGATACTCACAAAGATGGATCTAAGGAGCATGTGGAAGTAACAGCCAGTTCAGCACAGATTCCCTAAACTATGTTAAGCTGTTGTCTTGAAATAACAAGATCAAAAAATATTATACTCTAACAGCACAGCAGTTTTAGCAACAGTCTTTCATTGAGAAAAAATACTCAACATCAAGCACCTGAATAAAAATAGAAATTGAAGTCAAGAAGATACTTACGCCCAGATGCCTTCTTCTCCAAACATTTTGGGTACAGCCTGCCGCAGAGTGTTGGCGTATCCAGGCTGTGTCTGAATACGAACTTTAGCAGCTTCCATGGGAGCCAGAGCAATGTCAGCAAAAAACTCTGCACTGGCAGATGCAGCTAAATATAGCGAAGTACGCCACAAATACGCATTTTCCTGAAGGGAATTTAAACACACATTTTTATTAATGAACCGTGCTTTTGTGATTACTCCGCATTACTACTACTATTACTTTACAGATATAAAGCCTCATATAAACCACTTCAGGCTTACCTCTCCCAGCATGTTGCCATATAGGATTTTGAAAACTTCATAGAAACCAAATTTACAAAGCCCTTGCATGGAATATCCAATAAAGGTTGGAGCCCATCCCTTAGCCAAGCCACGAACACCATCTTCCTTGATTGTCACTGAAAATCCATTGAAGATGCTCTTGTATTTTTGTGGATCGACCTAAAGAGAATAGGCAATTAATTGCTTGACACAGCTTACTATTTCCCTTCTCACTCGCCCATCCAAAATATAAAATTCTTAAATTCTTCATACAGCTGGCTTTCTAAGGTTCCCTGGACAGACGGCATATACACAAAGTTACGCTAACCCAACTGTACGCCTACACCTAACACCTACGCTAACCTAGTTGTTTGCTAGGCTAAACCCTAACTTCTTTTTACAGTATGTTCCTCAGGAGCCACAAAACTATCTGAATTTTGCTTTACATTTATTCTCCAAATTAACAACATTACTTTCTCTATCAAAAAGATTTACTAAAATCACTATGTATAGTGATTTTAGTAGTATACTGATATGTTTAGATCGGATTCTTTATAAACCTGATAGCTTCTGTCAGCATTCTCATCCTCTCTACGTCACACCTATGTACACTTGCCACAAACCAAGCCTGACAATTCACCTGATTCTTAATCAGAGAAGGTCATTTGTCCACTGTTAGTTTGACCCCTCCACATAGTCAGATGGAGCAAAGCAGATAAGCAGATCAAAGTGTACTCAAGAACTCCTAACACTTGTACTTTGACTTCACAATAAAGGTTATATAGAAAATATTCTCTGGGCAAAAAACACTGAGTGAGATTTCACTAATAACTTATCAGAAATAAAAAAAGATCAACCTGAATATTTTTTTCCATGTGAAAGGAAGCCATTTAAAAATTCTTAAACGGGTCATGAAAAATTTTAAGTCACATCACATTGTTGCTTTTTGTATTTGACATCATCCAACACTTCCTCAGAGGAATAAGAAGAAAGATATCAAATTATTAGTCAATCAAAGCTTTCAGAAAGAGCTATGGGACCTGCAATGATTGATATTCTGTCTTGCAGTCTGCAGCAACCTACGTGAGAACTAGTTCATCAAAACACGTCAATTTTAGAAGATTCAGAATTTCAGAAAATTGGATATTTAATTGGCCGCTGTAAAATGAAACTATGTTCCTGTCAGAACCACGCTTAATTATTATCTACATAAAAGGTGACCTCTTCTTAAAGAGGCATGAGGGGGCAGGCAATGGCTTTCTTCCTGAAGAATCTAGGAAGGATTAGTAACGTGCTCTGTACTGGATCTGTAAAGAGATAAATGCTGACAGGTTTTACAAGGTCACACCTGGAATCCACACAGAACCTTCCTCTTGTGCCTTCCTAAGTGCTGGAAAAGGAAGGGGAAGTATCACCAGGAAGGAAGCCAAAGACTGGTAACCCAAGCTTAACATACCCACCAAGCAGCTGAAGCCTGAGAAGTATGAGGCTTTGCTCCCAGCTGTATATGCAGCATTATAGGTGCAGCACTGTATAGCTCTCAGGCTTTCTGCCCATTAACCCAATTTGCAAACAGATCAAGAACTGTTTGAGACGCTACATCTTCTTTACCCATCATCAATTTCTTCCTTCCCAGGAAACTTATCCTTAGGTGTGGGTAGTCAAGATACCGACCTTGGATTTCTGAAGTTCGTAACAACAGAAAGGCGCACTTAAGGTACATTTTCAGAAATAAAACACATAGTCAGCTACAGCTATTCCCTAGTAGTAGAAATAGGGAATAGCTAAACAGTTAAGCTGGTCTCAATGCAGATTTTGTAGAAAGCAGTGTGTTGCCTTTATTTGATGCACCCCGTGTTTTTCTGATGCATTAAAGAATTACTAGTTTTAGACCAGCATTTCAGGTGTTGTCAGGTATGCAAAAAAGCCGCTCATGTAAAGAATGCTAAATAAAGGTCTCCTGGAAGAACACAATTTTAAAGAACATCACATGCAGTACTCCTAGCGTGACTAGTACATCTGACTAATTAGTAGCTCCCTCCTAACTTCAGAAGTTCTGTCATTACAAAATCACCACTTTTATAATCAGAATCAGCTAGACAACAAGTAAGTTAAGTACTTTATTTCCAGGAATTTAGAAGTGTGCTTTAATTTGCTTCATTCTTGAGGCATAGATTTGCCTGAAAAAATCCATTAGAATGTCTTATCCATGGCTGTTCACTAGGCAATTTTAATCAAGTATCACAAATTAAGTGCAATGTGACAAAACTCCTTTCGGTTCAATCAAGAACCACTCCAAGGAATGCACTGATGGCCTTACCAAAAACATAGCAAATTTCACTCATTGAATTCAAAGTGGTGTCATTAGAAAATATCCAATCCATAAGCCATGCATTGATATCCACAATGTTAATGGATCAAATTATACATGCATGTCACTCCAGGATAAAAACCAGATCTTCAAAATACCAAAGATAGTACTTCCTTCCTCCAAAAGCATAGGAATACCACAGGACAGCCTACCAGACAGCAAAGAGTAACATTGTGGGGGGTGTCTGTTAGCCAATATAGTCAGTTATATGTCCCTTAAATGTAGTCAAAAACAATTAATCCAGATTATCCTAAATCTCTCTGCTTCTCCTTAGAGTGGTATTTTGTTAGTCTCACAGCAGTAGGCTTGATAAAAGTAGCATTCAAGTTTACTCACTTCCTGTCATCCAGAAAAGACCTGTGTCCCTACTGTAAACTCTTAATAGGCTGGCTACATTAGAGAAAAGGTTTAAGAAATGTTAATACAAACCTGCATACGACATTTCACTAAATCCAGAGGTACAACACCAGTGTGTGTCAGGCCACAACTTAGGACCCCACCAACGCCACAGAGAGCATAAAACTTGAGCGAGCCATATTCACAACTGTATTCTGCAGCAAAAAAATAAAGACACACCATGCTTTTACATAAACTCCATGCACTGTTGGACAATGACGTTCAGGGGATAGTTTATACCTCCAATTCATTAGTAGATTAATTATACCACACTAAACATGCTTTGTCAATGTCACCACATACCAACATGCAGAACCAACCTGCATTCTGCATTTAACCAGGTCTAGAGGAACCAGTGCTGTATGTGTTGTTCCACAGCTAATAATCCCACCAAGGCCACAAAGCATAAAGAATCTCCCTGAGCCATATGCACAGCTGTATTCTAGTTTATTGGGAGAAAAAATTACATATATATGATCAATCACAAATGGTAACAAAGATGGAGAAGAAACAAAACTGGCTGAGTACAACCTTTTTAAAAGTATTAAACTGAAATAATCTCCCATGCTATATTATATTATTCAACTGTAGTGTTATACTCAAAAATAATTCCCTTGCTTTAAATTAACACCTTTTGGACTGACAAGATTTGATTCTAGGCCTTCCAAATTGAGTTTGTTTCTTTAAAAAAAGCAATGGAATAAAGTTAAGTTTTAGCTCACTGCACATTTAAACCATAAAAATTAATCCCAAAAACTGCTAGTAGAAATTATGACAAAGTTTAAATATCCAACATTTTCTTATACCAAGAAATTAAGCAAGAGTGTTTCTCTAGTATTCTAGAAACAACGCTTCTATTGTTAAACATTCTGTGATAGTACAACTTCTGTATTTCAGTAGTGACCATACAGATCTACAAGATCAGTGCTGGATTCTTCTTTATACATATATAATTTCAGGTATTTTTCAGATTCTTTATACAGATTTTCTTTTGATTTTCTTTCAAATACAGAATCTCAGCTTTATACAGCTTCTGTCTAATGAAATTGCAGAATTTTATTCAATTAATCATCACATTCAATGCTCACAAAGAATCTTTCAGATCATGTTTCATCAAGGGATATTTCATTTGCACTGTTCCATACAGTACTGTGTGGAAAACCATCGAGTCTTATAAGAGAAAGTTATTTTCACAAATTCCAACAGAGCAAAGTTACTGGAGCTGAAAAACAAGGATCAGTTTCCTTCTTCCATTTTTGAAGAAGCTACAGGGAATATGATTATGTGCAACCACAGAACACTTTAAGTTTACAATGAACATTATGAAATAAGCCTAAGGTAGCAGCACGGTTCAGCTACTATGGCTACCATTTTAAGTATATAAGCAAAACCAAAATTAATATACTGAATAAGCATATAGAAAAAAATACACTATGTAGAAAACATTCCCCAGAGTAGAAAAGGATAACCTAGTGGCCTTTGCTATTAGATTAGATGCTATTAACTAGTGTTACCACTAGTAACACTAGTGGTGTTACTCCCATATAACAGAGTAGACTTTGAGAGCTTCCTTGCCCTTTTTGCTTCTGAAATAAGATCTGTTATGAACATCAACAAAAATTTACATTTACATTCAACATCATCAACAGGGCACCATTTAACACTAGCAGTCTTATCCAGCTCGTAACTTTGCTATTATAATGGAACTTCTTTCCAAAAACGTTCCAGATTTTACAGTAGTTTACATTCACATTTCTTACCTTACTCTTCAAAATTAATCACCAGTAACATTTTTTTTTCTTTATTCTAAAATAGCAAATACCAAATCACAGACACTATATTAAGACTACACTTAAAGCAATGAATCAGTCAGAATAATGCATAACTTATGAGAATTTCCTTAACTGGGGTACTGTTTAAGACTGTAAACAGGCTGGTCTGGGACTTACACATTCCTCTAAAATAGCTTGGTTACCCTAGCACATCTGCAGACAAAAGTAAAGCTGTTTACAGCTTTGCCAGAATGACTAGTTAAACAAATACAAACAAGCCTAGCTCTATCTTTGGCCTGCAGCATAAGCACACTGCAGCAGTTACCATGCTGCCCAGACACCTGAAGTGTTTGTTCACACTCTTTTTCACAACAATTTCTGTTAGGAGTCATATTCCTCAACTGACAGAAACAGACATTTATAGAAGCCACAGAAGAGTAGAGCTTCATGTATCTGCTCAATTACAATGGTATTCAGGCTGACTTGTCAGCTAGGTGTTCAAAAAGAGTAATTAAGAAAAGCAAAGCCACTATCAACTAGGCTTGAGCTCTTTACAGGTACCAAAATTTGCAATGGTACAGCAGTTTTAGGAAAAAACATAGTAGATCCCAGACTTCATATTACAAGCAGAGTCAAATTTCCTAAAAACTGTTACCTGAAAAGAGAACTGCTAAACATGTAATAGAGTGCAGAAAAGTTATTCTAACATACCTAGACACTGATTTACAACATACACCCTGAAGCTACTTAAATATAAATATACAGCACAAAAATATGCCTACTTCATTTCTTTGCTTCTGATCTGATATATTAACAAGGACAAATTCCAAGAGCTGATCATAAAACACTGTCTCTCAGCTGCGTTATGGCTGATGCCCTTAGCTGAACTCACAAGGTCTTGTGGTTTGAACTGACTTTGTGTGACCTTGTGTAAGCTCACATACCTTCTGCAACATGTTACTCTCCCAATACAAAGGCCAGAGAACCAACTGGTATGTAAAATAGCACACACAGCAGAAAAGACTACAAAGGCTAAGAAACTGGTCACCTTTGACTGCATCTGCCTACAAGGAGGATGAAGATCAAGCATAAAGCTTTCATGAAATTAAGTACACTTTCTGAATATATTTAGCATACTGAAGAGCTACTTAGGGCTTTAGTTAGCAACAAGATTACTACACTGAAAACCAGAAGTACTTTCTTGAAAGCTTAATAAAATCCAACACCCAGTTCTGTCTCTCTTCCACATATTGCATGAATGTTAATGCAAGGGCACTAACATACTTCAGTTATCATAATAGTTCAGAAGAGGTATCTTGCTGAAAGCACTTTTTTTTCTTCTTAAAGGCAGAGATGCTTTTAAGTTACTAACACCTTAAAAGAATTAGAATTTTAACATCTACCTCCACTGTTAGGTGTATCAACATCTGACCTTTGCAAGTCACAGAAGTGACCAGGAAACACAGACAAATCACTTACACTTAAATCTAAAATGCATCACTGTATGTTAGGCAGCACAGCTATCTGCTGTACACCCCACAACTACAAAGGAAGGGGGGGGAACCCACAAAAAAACAGAACAGCTGCAGGCACTCTAATATGTCTGGATACTCAGATGTCCAGCTGTGAATAAAGGAGGGGAGGAGGGGAACAAGTAAAATTAAAAAAATGGGAAATGGTCTTTGAAATCCATCCAGATTTACGTTTTACATACTGCTCTCCTCCAGGGAAAAGTACAGGCCTGAAGCCTCAGTCCCCGACGCTGCAGGCTCGGAAGAGCCAGAAAAAGCATCCTGTTATCCCCATTGGGGATCTCTGCAATCACCCTGAGCCAGAACCTTCCTGTGTCCTTTCCCGGTAACACCGGCTCCTTGCTGCCACTCAGCACACACCGCGCGGGGAGCGGAAGAGCCTGCCAGCGCCTCCCCCACCCGTGCCCTTCCTCGTCCTCCAAGCGGGCGCGTAGGCCCAACACCGGCTCCTCCCCGGCCCGGCCGAGCCCCGCCGAGAACTAACCCTCCCTCCGCTGCCCCGAGGGGCGCAGGCCCGCGGTAGGACGGGCACCGCCGCCCCCGCCGCCCGCAGGCCTCGCCTCCGCCGCGACCCCTCTCACCTTCAGCGGCGGATGCGGCCGCCAAGCTCCGCCGCGTGGTGGGAGCCTCCGCCGGCCCCGCGCGCTTCCTCGCCCCATCCTGGACCAGCTGGAAGTGCGGCGCGTAGAAGGGGTTGAGCCGGGCGAGCGGCGCGATGGACGAGAACATGGCGACCTGAGGCGGGCGAGAAGAGCAGAGCGGGGTGGAACGGGGAAGCCCCACCGCGGAACCGGGCCGGGCAGGATAGACCCGCACCCGCCAAGGCGTCCCGCTGTCCCCGGGGCGAGCAGCGGGCCCCGCCGGGCGGTCACCGCCGCGCCGCCCCGACTCACCTCCTAAGATGGCGGCAGCGCAGACCCGCTGCTCGGGCGGCGGCTCGGCGCAGAGGCTGTCCGCGCGCCCGGCTCCGTCACTTTGTCCTTCGCCGACGCGCGGGGCGGGGCCGCAGGCCAAGAAGCCGCCGGGCGATTGGCGGAGGCGCTCGGCGAACCGGCACTTACAGCGCACGCGCAGCCGAGGCCTACGCCCTTGGCAGGGGCGGCGAGGCTGGAGCGCGGCCGGCGGAGGCCCAGAGGGGGCTGGCTGTCCTCCGCGAGTGCTCCTCCGCTCCCGGCCCGGCCGTCGGCTGCCTTCGCCGAGGTGAGGCTGCCGCCGCGGCTGCGACAGGCCCGGGAAAGGCGGTGGCTTCTGGCTGAGGGCCCGCCGGTTGTCAGGGGCGCACGCGCCGTGTGCCTGAACGCGGGGGCCTCCCTTCGCGCGGCCCGAGGCCTGTGGGCAGCTGTGCGACAGCCCAGGGCCGGGTCAGACCGGAGACGCCCCCGAACGCCGCCAGTTCTACGGTCACATCACCCCGCCCGCGGCAGCAGCCGGCCTCAGGCACCGGCAGGCAAGCCTGGATTCATGCTCTGCAGCTACTTAGAACAGCAGCCAGCTTTTAAGACTAGCCTGAAGAAGGCCTCAGTATTGCCCAGGTATTACCCTGAACCACAGCATCTGCCCATACTTTCTAACTAACCACACTCTGCTAAAGCTGTAAGACACAGCTCACTTTAACAAAAGGTTCATCCCTCTCAGTGGGTGGCCACCACAGGACGGTGTGACACCACGTGTGGTCACCAGACAGGCCACCAAATGCACTGCTGCCACTGCCTTTCACCTCCGAGGACAGGCCTGCAAGGCATCATGACACAGCCTATGCTACACCAGCTTACAGAAGAATTGCTAGTTACCGGTTTGTTAAAAGTAGAATGTTATTTAACATAACACCCATGCTTGGCCTTAACTACCTGGATTTCCACAGTACAAAACTGGCACAGCACAGTTCAGCTCTCCAGTTACTGAAGAGGTAACTCCAAGCTTTCACCATCTTGACCACATCCCTTCCATAACAGTGCTCCGCAACAACATAAGCACAGAAGACAGCAAAGCAGGAAGCACGCACTGCATGTCCCAGCTATCACTTCTGGGCACAGAGCCATAACGCAACCGATAGTGCCCCTGGCACTGCCACACTGAAGGAACACCCCTTCCTTAGGTCAGCTCAGCAGCTCCTGTCAAACTTCCCCAGAGGGTGACCTGCGACACCAACCTTAGGACTTGGCTCTACTTGCTGTATTTCACAACAAAGTTTATCCAGGCAGACTGTCACACACAAGCAAAAATGACACATGCCTAATAGCCCTGCCACAAAAGCCCAGTTTGGCCAAGTCCCTCTTAAGTAAAGTAGACTCCAGCTGCTGAGCAGGCAAAGGTCAACTGAAACCTGCATTCTTTAAATACTTCCATTTAGCAACCAGCTGAGGGCCTGAAGTGCTGTTCACTTCACAGCCACTGGCAGCAGTGAAGAAAGGTCAGAACTGGTCATTTTGCCAGAACTTGTTCTGCTCTATTCACTTGCATTTAAACAATTGCTGGTAGCAATATTGTATCTAAAAGCTAAACACTGACACTTATTTTTAATTTAGCTAATGACATCTAAGCATCACTGACACTTTGAGTCTTACCTTGAAATTACATACAAATGATTGTGACTTTTGCAGACTTTGCTGATTTTTAACACAGAAAACCTCTGCTCCTTCCAATTATGAAGGATGATCATGTGACTGTATTTATATACACCTAATGGCAATTAGTGTGCACAACTGACAGAGTTACAGTCTGTGGAACAGTCAGTTTCTTTGTGTTTAGCTGATAATTAACTTCTAACAGCTGTACTATTATAAACAGCAGAGTTTAACATATCCCCATGAAAATACAGGTGTAACTTAAGTTTCTGCGGAATGCATGTTGTTTTACATAGAAAATTTCTTCAACTTTTCCCAGATGTGAAAGAACAAAATAGCAACAGACTGTAATTCAAACCATACTGATTAATCTGATTGATTCCCGATAGACACTGAAGAACAGTAGTAATAGATGAAAACTGGAAAGGCATTATCTTTTGGTGTCCACCTCTGTCAGATTCACAATAAAAAGAGCTACCGTAAGTTAAATCCATCTTTTTAATCAGAAGCTTTTCAAATTTGGGGAGTTTAGTAAAATGTGAGCTTGGCAACTCACTACTATTCCTTATTACATCTCTTCTTCTCTTATTAAAACTCGCCACACTCCATTCCCTCTCCCCACCCCTTGCCCCAAGCAGAATACAATCAAGAAAATTCTAGACTAGTTTCTCTCTTGCAATAACTTTTCACAGTTCTAACATTTTGGTGAAGCCTGTAAGTAAAATCAAAGCTCTTAGAAGCTGGTTCTTCAAGCGACTTATTATTTTCAAAAATATACAAGGTCATGAAACAATCATCCACACCTTTGTTAACCAGGTCAGCACAAGTGCTACCTGCTCCTGTTGTAAGCATGTATTTTACATACTCATTTGTTGTATCAATACCAGAACTACTAGAGCCTGATTCTAGAGAATCAGTAACAGATCAATTCAAGCTGCAAGTAGGTTTTAAAGCCCAAGGGAAGCCTTAACACTGAAGCATCTCCTTCAACAGGATCCAAATCACCTAGATTGAACTACAGCAGTCACATCCCTCTGAAAGCAGGTAGTAGTGAAACCTCTCCTATTCTTACTAGCCACTGCCATATGTGTTCTCATCTAAAAGTTCTAATTTGAATTCCCACCAGACATTACATGTTCTTCCTCCATAGAACACTACCTTTTCTTCCTAAGAAAGAAGGCACTACAGATACACTTTTTAGCCACAAACTACCAATGCTGACAAAGAATTTCAATATGAGGTGGGACAGAAAACCCAAGGAATTATTCTTTTAGATATCAATATATACATAGTACTTGTAGGGGTATATGCCACCTTAGGACTATTTTACAAGTTGAATTAACTCGTAGACACTATGCTGTATGAACACATGCATATATGTACATATCTGTCATAGCTTGCTGTTGCACTGGTGCAAAGCAACCTGGTATACTCCCTATGGAAAAAGAAAAGCAAGAGTCATAGAAAAGTTTTAGACAAACATAGGTAGATTTACCAGAGTACAAGCTATACTACAGACAATGTAAGGTATGCTGAAATGCCTGTTCGTAAACACAAGATTTAAAATGATACATCACAACCCACGCCTGTATCTATTTTGGTCAGATAACATTTTAATTTTTTCAAAAGCTTTTCAGCCCAATATGCAACTTCAGCCATATCAAAGCAAGCCAATACCACACACAAGACATACCACACAATTTTACACGCTTCATTTGCAATTACACATTTTTTTTTTCTGCTGAAAAGCCTCCTTTTGGAGCTCTATTAAAGGCATTCTTTTTGTACTCAGCTTTTCTGATTTAACTCTACACAAACTAATTAATGCTTTTTTAAAGAGATATTTTGTCCCCAGAACCCTCCGAGAAGGTAAATAGCAGGAACCAAGGACTTTAATACCATGAAGACATTCATTAGTTGTGCTACAAGAAGTCAACCAAAACACACACACATCAAGCCTAGGAGACCTGAAAGCATCCCCTAGGGCAGCAGAGAGCATACCGCTAGCAAGTAAACTTGGAGAAGAGAAAGTTCTTTCATACTGTTTCCTACTTAAACACAAATCAAGGTTTCAAAACACACAGAGAATTTAAATTTAAGATCCTCCTTGAGTTTCTTCTCTCTCAGACACTAGGTAAGCTCTCACTGTGTTATCATGGATCCAGCTCCATAAAATTAAGTCTCAACACTGCAACTGATATCCTCTAGTGATTTGTAGCCTGATACCTGACTCCTGACACTGGGTTCATGTTAAAATATTAGCACACAATTTAAAGGGAAAAGCACAAGCTCTGTGTTAAAAAGCTCTAATTCAGACAAGCAAATCAAGATATGCCATGTTTTCAGCCCAGCATTCTATGCATTATCACCAATCATGAAAACAAAACCCACCAAAACACCACACACACACACCCCATTTTCATGCCTGTTAACTTACACAGGCTTTTTTCCAGACTTTTTGTAGTCCTTGCTCTAAAAGAGACTTATGCAATTTTTACTACGTCAGAACTCATCCAGTTTTTGCAACTGGGATTTGGATACTAATACCAGTCCATAAAATTGCTCTATTTCGTGATTGGTTCCGAAAGTTTAACCTGGCTCTGTCTAGAAGCCAAGGTAAACTAACGGAACAAAAGTAAGATTATTTAAAAAAAAAAAAAAAGAAAAGAGGAACACCAGTTCCTATTGCTTCAGCACTTCGATACAAAGACTACAGTGTAACTTCTATAGCAGTATTGAGAAGACTTTAAGCACATGCAACTCTTAAGGTAGTAGCACTTACTACACGTGTTACCCTTAGAATAACATGAATAGCCTTAGGAACACTGGTAAATCCACATTTGGGACTGGGGGAGGAAAAGAGGGAATAAAGAGGAGATTATTCTCAGGGCTCTCTCATACCATTAAATGCCTCAAGTGTAAAAAACTTATTCATTCCTTGAAAATGCATTGTCTTCCTTCCAATTACAACTGAGCTACAGGTAGATTACTTTGAGGACTTATGTAGAGAAGTCTTTACCTTCTGTGAAGTAACACTGAAGTTGAGAGGATTCTTCAAAACAGTGCAAAAACAAAAGAATGACGACATTTAATTGCATTGCAGTTCAGTTTGGGGTTTTTTGTGTTTTGTTTTTTTTTTTTATGATGCTAACAGTATCCCTGAAGGAGGTCAACTGAAAGTATTTCATGTAACTAGAAGAGAAAGATACATTTCATGTTAAAACACATAGCAAAGTGGGGTGAAAGATAAAGTGAAAAAGAAGTTCCTTAAGCATTGAAAAGCAAATGAAAACTAGCTTCTCCCCCCCATCCAAATTAAAAGGTCTAATATAGGCTAAAGGATTATGGTGCAAAGCTGTAATAATAGTGCAAATATGATGAATATTCCTCCCATCAAGTGTTGACATGAATTACTCTGGGTCTACTATCACATTTACTTTTTTTTAAACATGGAAGACTGTAGCAGCACAAAATGACACCACCGATACATCAGTTGTCTTGCTTCTGCTGCTTTTCAGCAATGCATTTATTTTGATACGGAAAATTCACACACATTAAAATTATTTTTATTTTTTTGCATTTTGACATCAAGTGAATGTCTTATGTTACAATTCTCTATAGGATGGACACAAGTTTAGCTATTTGGATTACTCAAAAAAGCAGATTAAAAGGAAAAAAAAATTAGTCTTAACAGAACCCCCCCTATTGCTTTGCTACAAATTACCATGTTTGTCCCAAAGTTCACAGAAAGTAAAGCTTCCCCATAACTATAATCTACACAATAATTGTACCTAGAGTAAAAAGATATTTACTATTAACTAATGTTCTGAGCTTTTTATAAGTAGCACTTTAAGAATAAGTAGTATGATTTATTGCGATTTTGTACCAAGCAATGAGACTGAACATCTGTATGCTGCAGATTAAAGCACACCAAAATGTATACATTCACTTTAAAAATTGTTGCTTATCACTCTTCATTGGTAGTAGTGAAGTCAGCTGCCTGCTCAACTAAGTTCACAATATAGAGTGTTTCAGCATGCTTTCACTGAGAAAAATATTCAACTGCATGAAAGTAGTAAATCTCACCTTAGAAGATGAAACTGTAGCAGAAAATGCAGCAATGCCCTCTTCATACAAGAATAAAACTTCATATGGAATTTTCACACTTTGAGAATAGTCCTCTAAATGAGTACTCAAAGATAATCACATAAAGCTGTGTTGGAAAGACCTCGCTTTTTTAAAAAAGAAAAAAGACCACTGCTAAAGTCAGAATTTAGACTACTTCAGATAACAACCTTGACCCAAAAAACATATTTTAGTAGCAAATTATACTGATGCAATTTTTATTTTCCACGCATATGACTAATAAATAAGTTCCTCTAAGACATCTCTTGCCAATTAGATTTGTATTCAGCTCCTACAACACTGTAAGCACTAAAATGAAGAGATACATTTAAATGATGTTACGCTTAAACTGTTACTAATATGATACTAAGACTTACAGAAATGCAAACAGGTTTACAGTTACATTTACTAAAAAGTTACAGTAATCTACAGAAAAGGTTGTTGTACTCCCCCTATATCCTAAGAGATCAAATTCAATTACATTTACTGAAAAAATGCATGTAAAAATGCATTTCCCTTTATCACCAGTGTTAAAATCCTCCTCCACAATCTAGAGACAAAAGTACAACTTCTTTTCTGTACAAAGAAAAAGCTTTAAAAACACAGCTTCACATTTTACTACATTTTTGCCCTTCTCAACTTCCAAGTTCTTGCAAAAACAAATATACAGTTTCTCAAAAAATCAATTTAAAGGATGTCCACATTAAAAAAATAAAGCCTACAAAAAGTTCAAAGATCTAAAAAAATGTTACTCCTATGGCAAAGTGATCTCCTACTAGTCCAAAGTCCAGAAAGTTACCAATGTCCATTTAATCTTGCTTCATTATCCAATTTATCAGGTTCCAATCACATTATTTGTAAGAAGTCCTTGAGCCGATGAGAGGGCAGAAGAGTTCTCTACAATTAAAAACAGGAGATCAAATCAGGTGTGCCTTTCAAAAAGATACTCATTTGGCACTACCCGGAGAGGGAATATTCAGATATTTAGCGAAAGGATTTCCTTGATTAGTTTCCATAGACTGATAAACCAAAAACAAGAAGACCAAAACAACAACAAAGAAAAGAATTTTTATCCACAGGGGAATGGAGCGTTCTTTTTTCGTTGGTGGTTTCTCTGACTTGATGTTAGTTGAGGTATCATATTTTGCAGCATACTTGGCGAAACTTTCCTCCATTCTGAAGTCACTGTGCTCTATAGGCCGGCTAGCAGCTCCTTTGATTGGCCTACGGCAGCTAGCACTGTCAATTAAAAAAGAAAAAATAAAATATTGCATATTTAAAGGAGCAATCTAAGGTATACAGGAAAATTTTAGTATAATTAAGAAACTAAAAATTATTTCTAGTGAATGCAGTACCTGAAATATCTGTCTCAAACCCCAACATGTCTATCATTACTATTTTTAAAGTTAATTTTTCAGTCCTCAAACACACACACACCTTAAAAAAACCTCAAATGCCAATTTACTTCACCCTACCCACATAATCAACAGATTGTAACTGTCAATAAAACTCTAGGAAGTGTCTCTATCTGCATCTTTAATGATCGCTTATGGAGCCTCAAGTGGATTTCTAGGCCTAAGACTGTCCCTGACCATCAAAATATCTCCTGATGGCTAAGCCAATACACAGAGCCAGAAGACAAAGCAGTAAGGGTTAAGAAACCTACACACATTGCCAAGTTCTTATATACAAGGGGTACACACACGATCATTATTTAAAAAAATATATTTAAAAAAAAATTTTAAAAAGTAGCGTAAATGTTTAACCAGACTGACAGACTTCAAAACGAGAGAACAAAACCGAGTTTGTTCTGAGCATATATACCACAGCAGTAACTGGTACCATATATTCTCCTCATGGTAAGGCTTTATGCAATTGCAGCTTAAATTGAAGCTATAATTAACATGTTGGAAACACAAGAGTTGATTTCATATCTTAATCATAGGGAAACTTTTTCACATATTCTCTGAAGAGGGCAAATTTTGTGAACTGCTTAAGTATCAAGAGCATTGTTTTAAATTTTGTTTAGAGTTGAAAAAAAATTTAATAGCCCTTCCTAGATGCCATCCTTATTCATGCTGAATCATCTTTGACTACAACAGGACTGCTACTCAAAGGAAAAAAATAAGGTATTTGAAAATTCTTTTTGGCTTTCAAAAAGAAAGCTCAAATCTATGCTGGGAGATCTATCCTTAATTTAACAGCAGGCTAAAGCAGTTGCATCTAGCCAAAACCATAAATATTGGGAGCCATTACCACAGAGAACCCCTCCTCATCTAGAAGTTCCAGTAATTCCTACTATAGTACTCTCCTCCCACCCCCAATTTAAGTAGAGACTGTTTTGGCTAACAAAATTACATATACAGAACAGAAAAACTAGGTGGTCATCTCAACTGTCATTGAGCCAGAGTGCAAAAACTGTTTGTCAGAATCTACCAATATAATCAAAAGATATTTCTCAGCTTAAACACATTTAGAAGAACTGAGAAAGAAATTTAGAAATAAAACTTAGAAATACCTAATTCCTGTAGGCGTTGACACTTCATGAGGGAACATTTCCTTAAGAATATCCCTTTCTACTCTTCGTTCTTCTGTGTGAGTTCTTTCCAGCACCTAGGAAATCAAAAACAGTTATAGGCCTACCAGACCACAAACTGAAAAGCTCCTGCATAGCTATCTCAGTGACCATAACCATGTGCAATTAGTAAGAATGAATGAGTCACCCAGTGACATTCAAGAAGTTTACTTCTTGGGTTTTAGATGTTAGTTGAACCTTTGTTAGTGGTAGCTGTCTGGTCACTTTCGGTGTCTTAAAACATTCAGTGTGCTCCTCAGTTTCCTTTAAGATAAAGAATACATTGTATAAATACAACACACCTGCCAGCCAATGATGTAGATGATCACAAAAAACTTAAACCATCACCTCTATCATGGCTGTGTTGAGCAGATCACAGGATTGGTTGTGGCCAACATGATTAAAAAAGCACTTATGTGGGCAATCTGTCTCTTCTTGCTGTAATAAACAATGCCACAGTACAGTAGAATACTAACTTAAAAAAGCTTAGGTAGTCTGAAATAGAACGTCAAGTTTTCCTTTAACCTTCTATTTGACAACTAAGTCTACACTGGAGTCACATCATAAACAAAAAAAAGCAGCCCATTTAATAAATCTCAGACCCATCGGTACAGTAGGCTACACTAGTGTTAATACAAGTTTTATCTACACTAACTACACAAAACAATGAATTCCCTTTAAATTCAGCCAAGCATTATCCTGTAATGTAAATTTCTACAATATCACAGTACTATATTAATACAGTACTACATTAATACATTACATACACTTCCAAGTGCTTTAGACAGTTCTCCAAGAGGTATATAATTTAGACAGCTTGAATAAGTTGAGAGTAAAAGAATTATTTTCCTCCTTTGTAACAGACAGGAATCTACAGATACTTTTTAAATTCAGGCTTTTGGTCTAAAAGTAATCCTACACTTTGATTCCCAAAGTTAAGGCACATTGTGGTTTTTCAGGATAGGCTGATTCACAAGATAAAGGGTAGATAACCCAATTTTGCTCTGTCTTTGAGTTATTCAAAGAATTCAAAAGAAAAAAAATATCTACATTTGTTACAGAAAAATAGCAGCACAAGGAGACATAACAAACCAAAACTTTTTTTTTTTAAATCCTAAGGCAAAGCAGTAGCTCCACACACACACAAATCTGAAAGGGGAACATAAAAATGAGTTTATATTCTCTTTTTTATACTAAGACTGTTTTGACTAGTGCCACCTGGGCAGTGATGTTCTCCACCCCTTCTGTACTAATAAGTAAGCACATGCACACAAGAATCTTGTTCAGAGAAAGAAAGCAATAGCAATCTAAGTTTTAATTTATTTACTTCAGCTGTCATCAATGGTTTCTTTGGTGTTCTTCTGGGCATGTCTGAGAGTTCACTGATTGACAGTGTAGGAGCTGCATGCTTGAAATTTCCAGGCACCCTATTGACAACCTGCCGAGATTCAAAATTGTTCAAACTCAGAATCAGCCAAAACACAAAAATAAAAGGGAGAAGGGGGCAGAACCAAACAAGGAAACCTTTACGTGCATTGCATATATGTGTGTTAGGAGTTAACTCAAGAAGGTTATGTAACACATACTCTGAAATAAGCACAGGAAACACATTGCTTATCATTCCAGGTAGTTTCTTTTAAGCCATTTAGAAACACAAAGGCTATTTAGTTTGCAAGAAAAGCCAAACTTAGAAGCAGATATTCTGCACTTAAATTAAGAAAAGATCTGAGTTTTTAAAGTGTTCTTCTCAACCCACCCACAAAAAATACATTAGATGAGACCTAGGTGTTCACCTAGTCCCATTTCAAAGTGAACAGCATTAGATACTAATACAGATACCGAATACGTGGTTTCAAAGACTACTGAAAAGAAGACTGTTTTAAGGAAGTATGACTACCTGCTCAAAACAGAGTGATTCTGTGAATAAAGATATATTACAGAAGAACACTACTTGCATGATTTATTAAATATATTTACTAAGCATATTTACTAGGGTCTCGTTGCTTGCAGTCAATATAGTTTCAGCTATGGGAGTACTCTCTGTTATTACACCACCATCTACAGGCAACTGTGCTGTAGCTTCCACCTGTTTGTTTAAAACAAACAAAAGAAAACAATTGAATAAAATAGCCACTGGGACCCTAAGAGTGAGAAAAAAAGCTTGTCTATTATAGTAAGCCTCTCATCACCCTTCTCCTTGGTGTTCTTCTTGACACTCTTGTAGACTCCCTAGAAAATGCCTGCAGAGGTCCACTTTTTGAAGATCCACTTGTCCAGACAGTCTCAGTAACTCCATCTTGAGAATAGGTCTATTCAAGCATCAAACACATGATCAAATACATGAAAGCCAGCTCTCAACATTGAATACCCACAACCAAAAGCCAGAATAGCATGCATACTCCAGAAACTGTGTCTACAATCCAAAAAAATTTTGGATCCTAATACAGTCATTAATGAATAGCTAGATTAAGGAGTGTTGACCACAATACTTACATTAAAGCACATTATTTTTCAAACACATAACTAACTAGATAATGCTCAACAGTAAAAACTGATATCCTGCTCACTGACATAACACTACAAGTAGTTATATCAAGCTATGGACAGCGGCTTTCAGGCCCATTACATTACCTGCCTACACACACACAAAAAATATTAATCTATGCACATAATCAGAAAGCATTACCTTGCTCTCTACCCAGCTAGAGATCTACTCTCTCAAGCAGAGATGGGAATGGTTTAGGCACAGTCCCCTACATTTCAACAGGAACTGATCTCCAGCCACAGGGGGCAAGGGGAGATATTTTATCATCTTAAAAGCTTCCAAATAGAGATATGAAACTCACAAAATTTTCACATAACAGTGGGTTTAAATGATCAAGCCTGACACATCTTAACAAATCTAAGTAACAACACGAAGCTTTATAGCCATTAACAAACACAGATCATTCCCTATGACTTATTGCAAATTTTACGCTCAAAGAAAAAATCCTCCTCAAAACTAATTCCAAACATAGCCCTGGAGAGAAAGGGACATGAGGGCCTGCTTCTTCTAGATTATGTACACAATTTTCCTTTCTATTTTGTTAAGTTTAAAAATGAAAATAATTACTTTGTTAATACTGAAATCTTTGCACAGTAACAACTCATGCATTGATTTTTTTTTACCAAATTTTTGGAAGTTATACTCAGTGATGATGCATGCTACACAGACTGATGCAACTGTCAATTACAGGTCTAACAGCAGAAATAACTTCACTAGAACAATATTAGTCCCCAAACAATATGTTAAGAGAGTTAAGGCAGAAAGTATTTATTTATCAAGAGGGGAAAAAAAAAGTCTATCAATGTCCATATCCGTTGCCCACTTGTATCTTCAAAGTTACTCCAGTGGAACTGGAAAGCAGCTGAGCTTTATGGTTCTTAACATAAGCTCTGTATTACAGCTGCTACAAGTCCAGCAGAGGGAGCACAAGTGACTCCAAAGTCACTAAACTACTTTGAAAGCAAAATGATATATGCTTGTGCACAGAGCTCAAGTCCAAACTAATTCAGATGTTTCATATAGAATTGTAGATCCCAGCCTAGGTCCAATATTCTTTTCAATTTAAACGGACTTGTGATGAAAGATCTCCCAGCCTCTCTTTATTTATTCACCAGACACTGGCTTCCCTTCCCTGTTAAGAAAACGCTTAACCTGCCACATTCAATCATGGCTCCCCACCTCATTCCCACATACTTTCTATTCGATAGGCATTCTTTAGAACCTTAAAGAACACTAATTTCAGAGTGGTTCCACTCAAACACATTCCATTCAGGAAAGCAGTAAGGCAATTCCCTCATCCCACTAGTGGAGAGCTGCCCTGGCCCAGGCTGTTGGACTAGGAACTAGTTTTCTTCTAATGAAAAGTTAGAAGTACTGCAATAAATAACGGCCTTTCTCTTTAGTTCTTCAGATGCTTGTCAGTCATGTGTTTTAAGTACCAAGTTTCAAGTTTTTTCCTGCATGAGAAGTTTAGGAAAAAACCCAAATCTACTGCGTAAGACCCATCCAGACTTCAGCAGAGCATATTCAACAAACAAAATTTAAAAAAAGAATAATACTGTTGTCTAAAGTTATAGTTATTTCTCACTGTCAATTGAGCAGGCCTTGTCTGCTTGCCTGTCCCGCAAATATCTGAACTAAATAAGCCCTACTAGGCTGTAATACTCATGTTTAGGTACACCAACGCTCTGTATATAACCAGAGAAAGTTATAGTGGTGGGGTACACACATATTATTCAGTATGTGCTTTTAGCCATCATTACTCATGAGCAGTGAAGCTACAGATTATTAGTTTACCTCAGCTACCACTTACCAAGTTTTTATTGGGTGTATGCCACATGAAATTTCTGTGCCATCAGCTGCAATGCTGCATGTTTTATTTTTAAGAAGCCCAGCTATACAGATAGTAAAAAAAAAAAATGCAGGGAGGACTAGGGGAACAGAACACATGCAGAATGTCACTCCACAGAATCTCAAGGAGAGAGTAGTTCTGCATTGCTAGGATTCCTTAACATTTAAGTTGCTCAGCCTGCCTCTGTCCAGTGGCATCTACTATGAGGCCTCAGGCTCTGTTTTGAACTCCTAAGTCTATATTCAAATACCTGATTGGAAATGGCCATTCAAATTAGGGTTTTCTTCCAGCTTTTCCAGTTCACTACCAGGAGGTAATTAAGCGCAAGCATCTGAGCTCAAATTCATCTAGCCCTCCACTGCCAACTGACTGATAAGACCCATAAGCCTGTTTAACCTCCCCACCCAGTTTCTTTTGCACCACCCTGCTTAAAGACCTTTTTTTGCACTTTTAAGAGAACAGCAACATCCATCTGTGCCAAATGACAGTCAATCCTTTCAGCTGCATATGCCTAGACAGAACCTAGAAGTGATTAGCAAGCCTGCTCACACCACACTACCAACTAATTCAGCCCCGCCACTCTTAAGAGCCTTATAATCTTTGAGCCAATGCCACACAGCACACGGCAGTTGCATATAATTCTGCAGAATGAGTATGGTCACGTGACACATTACCTGCAAACTTAAGATCCATTTTCACAAGGGAAAGGAAAAAAAAAGATAACATCTCCTTCCACTTTTATTGTCCCCAAATATATGACTACACACATTTGTTAGCCAAAAACATTGAGCTGTTCTTGGCTTCAAGCAGCTTCAAAGTTTTTTAGTGTTTCTTTTTTAGGTTGGTTGTTGTTTCAGTTGTTTTTTGTTTGTTTTTTTTAAACACAGTCTGGAGTTGAAAGGTAAGATCTTTAAAAAGCTAGAGAGTTAGAGTACCTGAAGAATTTGGCATAATTTTTTGATTCATCAAGTGGTATTCCTTTGATTAACCAATTAATTAAAATATGCAAGTCACAAAAATATTGCATCTATACTGCACACATAAAAGATTGCAAGACAAAACACAGTAATAACTTAGTGCTATTACACTGAAATTGGATTAAAAAAACTGAGTAAGCACTCATCACTTGAAAATGCCACAGAAATACATCACCGTATCTCTTCCCTTTTATTCTGTAAGTGGGTTCCCAAAGATTAAGAAGCTTTCTGTGTTGACAGCTGAATTATATACCTCTATTACACTGAGGTTAGCAAGGATTTATGGGTGAATTGCAATTTAGGAAAAAGTAATCCTTAAAGTACAAGAACCTTAAGATTCAGAATCCCATTAGAAAGACCATCATGAGTAAAGATGCCTGAATAAATGAAGAAATATTTTGTGTGTTGAACTATGCGTATGTTCTGATTTGTAGAAGTGAAATCTGCTCAGTCTGGTACCCTAGTACTTAGGGTACCCTTTTAGTACCCTAAAAATCCAATTAAAAATAAGTAAAACTAGTTATGGAGATCCATAACTGTGTTGTATTACACAAGCTCACATAGCAGCATGTTACCTGCTTTAAGAGACATCCATAGCAAAAGCATGTTTATGCATACATACACCCTACCTAAATAGGAAGTATCTGGCATTTCCCATAGTATACAGCAGTGAGACAAGTCACTGACCTGCTAAAATGCATTAAGCTTTTAACAGATCAGATTTTGAGTCAGTGAATGTTTCCTATACAAGTCCTTTACTGGAGCACAACTCCAGTACTGACTGGTTAGATGAATAACACTGTAAAGATCCTAAGTAATCTAAGATATAGAACAAAGTATTTAATGACACTGTCACATCACAAGGACAGATCAGCTACCAATTATCGAATCCAGTATTTGGTCAGCAGTTTGAAAACCTGAGGTGCTTCTGTAAAATACCTCTTCCACCAAGACAACAGAACTAATATTATTTATAAGTAAAGGACAAGTGGTACATACAGCAAGATTTAAACTTGTTACTTATTATTTTTCTTCTTGGGAGAAGCCTTCCAGCAAATTAATATCTACTGCTGCTACAAGCATAGTTGAGGAAAAAATTTTATATAGATAGCTACTGTATGTGTGTACACAAATATACACACCTCTCTCTATATATAGGCATATACAGAAGTACATGATGTATTATGTCTAAATCACATTCATTAAAAAGATGTATGTGTATGCATTTTAAATATCTATATCAAAGCAGGTATACATGCATTTTACTTCTGTCTATGTATTTAAAAACATTTCTTAAAAAGCAAACAAAAAACCAAAACAAACCCCAAACTTTTTCCAAGGCTTTTTTTAAAAAGAAAAAACCCAACAGCTCCTTTTATTGAATCATGTTATTACAAACATCCAACAGGATGACATCAACCCATCTGACTTTAAAACCTGTCAGGTTTCCAAAACTAAATATGTTAAGGTTGCCTATTATTTTTCTCTACAAGGTGCTAAAGCAGCTGACAAGTCAGACAAACAGCTTTTAGCAGATCCCAATTTTGAACGTTATCAGACAGGCTAAAAACAGCAGCTATAGTTCATTCACAAGATTTTCATGCAGAATTAGAACAGGCTTCTGAAATAACTTTTCAAAACCAGCATAGCCCACTTAGTCAAATGTGATTATGTTAAAAGTAGTATGGTGTTTAGTAAGCACATCACCTGCGGTTAGTGGCCATTCCAGATGCCACTAACATACCTGGTTGTGTTCAACAACTCTTCTTTGTTTGAGTGCTACTGGAGTCTTCATCCTGGCTTTCAATGGTTCTCTCTTCTCAAGCCTCAGCTCAGTCTTCGGATCTGTAACCAGTTTTAATATAACAGGTTTCTATAATACTATTGGTTGTTGTACTAGTTTAAACCAATCGTATTTTAATAATTTTAAAAGGCAACATAACTGAGCTACCACTTCCTTAAAAAGTTGCAAGATACAGGTAAATTTCTTCATTAAATGTAGAAGAATAAAGACTGTTAAAGAATAATTTAAAAAATTGTTTCAAAACACTGATTTCTGTTTTGTCCTAAAAATCCTACATTTCATGTAAGCTTTGACCAGTCCGGCAGTTCCATTTAGAAACTGGTATCAAGTTGCAATTACTTTATTCCAAGCACCATTATACTATTCATTATGGTAAGGGTAATGAAGCTTTTCAACATTGCTTAGGCTGTTAGTTTTATTTGCTTTAAAATAGGTCCTTTTATACAAAACTCCCTTTTGCAGCAAAAGAAGGGCGAGTGGGTAGTGCTTATCTTACCAGCAAGATTCTAAAATTCTAGTAGCATTACACCAACATAGAGTGTATTTATGGAATTTATTTTTCTTTTGTGTCAGGGAGAGTGGTTGGTTGGTTGGTGTTCCCCCCCCCACCTTGAGTGTTTGAACAGTTTGGTAATTTGACAAAGCATACATAAGGACATAGTTGTTAGTTGTGACTGAGCTCTTGGCTGTCCTAAAAATAAATAAATAAATCACTAACATCCCTTCTCTCCCTGAAAGTGCAAAAGATTAAAGTTCAAAAATAAGTCCAAATATGCAAGGCAGATCCATCAAGTTCCTAGTTTTATTTCAACCCTTTCTGTACTATATCCATGGAAGTTCCTGTAAAAACAAACAAAAACCCACCCCAAAACAAACCTTAGAAAATAAACACCTTCTAACGTTCCATTCAAGACACTCTTTAATGCCTACGCTGTTTTTACTTTTTTTTTTACGATGTATCATGGTTTAGGTTAAACTTCCCCCACTGCTATGCTTTTTGATATAAAGCTGCTATTAAAACAGCAAAAAACACACCCCAGACCAACCAATCAACCCACCCCAAACTAAGTTCATAAGGAACAGAGCATAAAAGGGATTGAGTCATACATGAGAGACATTAAGCAACATTTCAAGTGTGCAGAAGTTTAACAAACATTCATACACTATCCCATAAGAAAATAACGACTGTAAGCACCATAAAGCAAAATTACACTTGCACTTAAAGGTGAAGTGCAAAGAACAACTGAACATTTCATACACAGCTCTTCCTAACAGATTTACAGGCTTCAATCTGGGGAAAATGGACAAAAAGGTTTAGTAGTAAAAAGTTTCTTTTCCCAGAACAGGCACCTGGATCACTCTGCTAATACTGCATGAGCAAGTACATGACTCACATGGTCTACAATAGTAGAGTAAAGCCTCACCTAACAGCAAGATCATACCCGCTTTAGGTATTTCTTCTACTGCAAGTAGAAGATGCTGATGTGTAATTAGAAGAGTTCACATGCAAGTTCCACTTAAATCTTACCTTCTTCATTGTCACTGTACTGGTCAGAATCATTATTGCCATTCTGTCTGGTGTTCTCAGCAGTTGAAGAAATCACTGGGAGAGGCACCGGTGCCTTCAGTTCTGGACCTTGCTCCATCAGTTTCAACAGTTTTTTCTCATAAAGTTTCCTAGTAGTAGCTATAACAAGTAAGGATACATGCTAAGGATACAGTTTTCATCTTTCCTGACTTGATTGCTAGAACTCAGCTGATATATACTCCTTGGGAATCTCTGAACATATGTTTATTTTTTAATTCATCTCTGTGGCCCAAAGCATATCCCTCTAGGTTTATAACTCTACCTTTAGTTTTAAGATTAGCGTGGACCTCTTAGTATGCTGACAGTTACAAGCATTTACCTATGGAAAGGGAACTTACCCGCTTCTCAGATGTCTTGTGTCACATGCTGCAATACACAAGTTGTTACACCCTCACAAATAAATTATTGAAATTGATATTACAAGGGCAACAGTTTCCATGCAGATTCCACTATTACCCTCTTAATCCCTTTACCCTGGAATTAACGCTCCTTCCCCTTTAGTTTAACCTTTGCCCTCTTGGCAAATGCAGTCCAATAAACACCAGAGGTGGTACAAATAAGCACCAACAACAGAATTTCCTGTTTGCTGCCTCTAGCCATCAGGTTGGCTAGCTTGATTTAAGAGGATAGCTGTTTAAAACTAAAAGGTATAAAGTCTAGCACATCTATGTCAAGACTGTGTTGGCAAAAATCTGTAGAAGTGACCAGTGCCTAAGCTGTTAGCTGCAGAAAAATCTAACCTTAGAAGATTTCAGGTAAGAGGACACCATCCTTAAAAGGAAGTAGCAGACTCTCAAAAGAAACAGATTACATACCCTGTAAAAAATAAGGCTTTTACTTAGGCTAAATCTTAACGTCCTTCCAGTGAACTTGAGTTTTTCAGAAGACTTGAGTGCTACCCAAGAGGAATGGGTTGAATGGGAAGGCATACAGAAACAGCTAACAGAAATTATTACACATAAGACTTTGAATGCAAACAGGACTCCAGGCTCCATCACTGACACTTCCACCCCCCTAGGATTTCAAGAACATTCCACAGAACAGACAACCATTTTTTACTTTTTTTTTTTGAAGAGTTGTAAAATCAACACCCCTCACTGTTAAAAAAAAGAAACAAGCACGAAACAGCAAAGGAAAACATCGCTGCACAATGCAGTGAGTAGAAAATGCTCTAGGGAAGGGGAAGTTCCATGTTCTCATTCTGCTCTCACTATCAGCTTATTATGCAAGATGTATTTTCTATTTAAGCAGGCCCCAGACCTCAACCTCTGTATCAGAAGACCTCATTACTCCAGCCCTGAACATTAAGTAATAGTTACACAGCTTGAGAACAGAAGTTGGAACACCTCCAGCTGGCCTAGAACATAGGAGGAACAAATAGAGGACTTGCCTACACTGCAGTGCTTCAGATCTTCTCAACGTAAATGGTTCAATTAAAACATCTTAAATGGGAGATAGGATTGCAACAGTATTGGTATTAAACTTAATAAGCAACTGTATCAGAGAAGCTTAGAGCACTCAGAACTGGGGTTTAGTGAGAAATATGTTGAATGGGTGAATATTTGCTAGTTCAGTTGACTTACCTACAATTGGGCCAGGATTTACTCCATACTTCAGAAGCTGCTCTTGGAGATCTTCATTACTCATCTCTGTTACATCTAGGTCATCCTTCTCCTCTGGTCTGGGTTTGTCAGTTTTCTTTGTGGCTTTCTGTGAGTGTGCAAGGGAGAAACAAGAGTCAGAGCATTTCCCGTTAATACAGAACGTGTCTTTCCTCTAAGGGAACAGGAAAATATGACAGTTCTAAACATATAAAACCAGAAAAGTAATTACATTCTCCCCATCCATCCCTCCCACAGTAAAGCCTATGTGGAACACTTTGAACATTTACACCTACTAAACTAAACAAACAGGCACAAGTTTCCTACTTCTACAAGGTAATACCCATCACAAGCCTCCTGTATAGTTAAAAAAAAAAAAGGTCTTGCTCATTATTCTGATCCTTTAATTTCAAGTTCAAGTATACAACAGGAGGATTTCTTTCCTATGACTGGAAAGGTAAGCTTCTAGCCATTTCACCATCAACACTCTAAGCTACAAATACAATGTTCCATTGGCAATTCTTCACATTATTCTTCTACCCAGTAGGTCAATACTTCTTCCTCTAATGATACGGAACAAGGACTTCTGTACTTATGCCCTCTGAACCAAGTTCCCAAAATCCCCATTCCCACTTAGCCTGGTGCTCTCTGTAAAATTACATGATGTTACAAAGTGAGTGCAGGCAAGGCAAAACCAGGAACTTCCTTACATTTTCAAAATCCTGCCTGTTTGCTCAGGACGCTGCTACTGTAGCTCTAACAAATCCTAAACCCAACTCTGGCAACACTACTTGAACAGTTGGCAATACACTACCACCACATACAGATGGTTATCAAAATAATCTGCCAAGATGCTACTTCTAAATTAGCAGTTTCCACTATATGCAAACAGAGTGATCACAACATTTGTTCAACTTGGAGCTTGAAATGTCTATTGTAGTAACAAAGGCTTCCCAAGATCTAAAAGACAGCGAGGAGGTAAGACAGAAAAAGATACACTTAGGATCTTGAGAGCAAGCAGAAAGACCTTGATACTGCTTTGAAATCAGTCATATTCGTACTTCAAAGTTGTAGGATATAAGCATATACAACTTCTACACTTGACATTTTTTTCTCAGCTTGGTTGCCTGGAAGACTTATCTGAGTTTTCTGGTACTTAACACTATTTGAAGTTAAGTATCACATTAACAAAAGTTTCTTCTTCAGTGCTTTTTTTTTTCTGCACTACTAAACTGTCCAAACAGTGGAAAGAAGTCCCAAAACACATGCTGCCTTTCCTTGTTGGGATCTGTTTAGACTATTGACAGCTCTGGTGTTTGCACACATCATCAAGCAAACTAAGATGTTACTTCCATATTTCAGAAAAAAACTACCACCATAGTACAGGAAATCAACATTCCAATGGCACTTCACAGAAACCTAATTTAACATATCTCTGGCTTTGGATCATCCTGAAGCCACAGCAGAGACTATTACAATATACACCAGAAGAACTATGCAGTATTCTACTAGACATTTTACAGAAATCTTTCCTACCAGAAATCTAATGATTCTATGTATTACTCATAGAATCATTTAGGTTGGAAAAGACCCTTGGGATCATCAAGTCCAACCATCAACCCTACTCTACAAAGTTCTCCCCTACACCATACCCTCCAACACCACATCTAAACGACTCTTAAACACATCCAGGGATGGTGACTCAACCACCTCCCTGGGCAGCCTATTCCAATACAGTCCTGTAACACATATCTCATAGTATCTTTGGTTTTTTTTTTTCTTTTTCCGAGTACCATTTCACTTTTTACTGCAGTATTACCACACATTGAGATCATCAGAATAGTCAGTTTCAGCAGAGAAAAAGAGCAGGCAGGGAGATGAAGAGTTGCAGGTAAACTATGTTGTTCAATAATATGGCCAGATGCATTGATTACCTTGTGTTCTGTAAAGTCTTCAACATTTATTTTTTCCAACACCTATCGTCCTTAAAGCAGAAGCAAATGACTTCACCTGTACAAGTACAAAGCTGCCATTTAACCACTCACTGGACCATAAAAATCAGCCCCTAGAAGCACAAGGCAGGATAGAAGAATTTCTCTCATACCTTGGCTGTGGTGTAACAGCACTAACCTCAGCAACAACAGTAGCTTTAATTATTACTACTATTACACTATAAAGCACCACTATATTTTCAGTGCATCATCACTACTTATTCATGGGCCTACCATGTGAGACAGATCAAAAGAGCTAGCTTTAAAATTTATCATTGCAAATTAAAACTAAACAAAAAAACTCACACCCACATTTTCCTGACCTGGTGACCATTAGTAAAATTAAAGCTGTCTTGCTGTGGTGAAGAGATGAAGTGCTTAAATTATAATTGTGGTGAACACCAGGATTTACCAAAGTAAAGTGGTGCAGCTCACCACTTTGCACGTAAGTATTCTTGCAACCCTATACCCAGACCAATAAATCCTTATCTGAAGATTTAATTCCATCGAGAGCTAGCAGCATTAAAAAATACTTCTACTCACTGATGTTTTCTAGAAAAGAGAAGAGGATCTGCATATTTCATTTGGGAGATTTGTTCACACCAAAGACACAGTAATTTGGTAGCCCTATCTGTCAGGCTCAGTTTCAGATTAACTAGGACCCAACCCTTCAAACAAATACTGAATGAGTTACAAGCATGAGGCTCCCACTCAGCAGTCTCATTCTACAGCCACAGGAAAACAAGAGCATAAGAGAAGTTCATCTTCTCAGAGTGCCATCTCTCCACAGCAAAAAGCTTTTGCCTTCTTTCACTAACGAGAGGAGGCAGAAAATACAAGTGATAAGAATTCAGATCTGAAAGTTATCCTTTACCTCATCTTTGCCATTCCTGCTGAATAGAAATGCAACAGCCACTGACCAGTTTCAGACAAAATTTACAGCTACCTTTACTGGTTCTAGCACTCCTCCACCAAACACAAGCTTAAGTAACATCTTGATGAAGCCACTAAATCATATAGCAGACAACTACTGGACATCACCAAAAGAAGCATTTTCAAATCTCAAGTTAAATGGCACCTACAGTAGGATACTGAAGGACTTTAATCCCAAACAGGTGCAGCTTTATCATTAGAAGCAGAAAGGCTCAGGGCTTCTTTACTATTTCTCTGAATGAGGTTAAGACAGGCTAAGAAAGCCCAAATCACGCTAACCGAATGTTCTTTAATTCTCCAGTTTGTACAGCGTTCTCTCTGGTAACAAATAGTGGTGTTTCTCTTTAGGCAAGTGAAGACAAGAGACTGTACATGCCAAGTCTCAGTCATAGCCTTATACTGTGAAATACAGAGGTCTCTATTCCCCTTGCACTTCTTATTCTATCACACACAAACATTTCCTGCAGTATGAATTTATTTTTTTTAATCAAGTTCTACTGAACATTTTAACCTTCAACACCTTGAGAAAGTATTTACCAACAGCTACAGGACAGTCAAACAATGGAAAGGAAATTATGCAGCAGTAATTCAAAGATACCGATATGCTCAACTTTAAGAATTCTCTATTTTTTGACCTTAGTAAGTGCTAGACTTAGAATTTCCAAGCCTATAGTATAGTAACAGACCTAAATTATAAGACTAGGGACTACTTAACTTTTCCACTCTCTCTTCCCCCCCAGACACTAAATTCCATGTTACTCATTCAAGGGAATGGATCCTCTCTGAAAACAGATGAATGCTGCATAATGAAGACTTGTTTCCAGAGAACCTAAGTGGAAGAGTGAAAATTCACAACAAAAATCAAGAAACCAAACCAACAGATGGTCTCATGGCTCAATCAACTGAACACCAACCTGGAGACCTGGCTTGTGTGTGTGCCCCTGCTGAACAACTGATATGCATTGCCAGACAAAAATTACTTCAATAGGATTATTTTAGTTGAATATAACTGCAGGTACTACACCACAACTGTAACAAGCAGATCTCCCTAGTTCATGAGTCTAAAACTACAGCAAGAACAGCATAGCAGGACTTCTCACTGCAGCAGAATTACTCAGTCACCTCCCCCCCACTGCACACAGCTGTCACTCAGACAGCAGATGAATGCCACTTAAAAAGGCCATAAAGGTGTTAATCTGTATTCTGGGTCACATTTGTACAGCACATCATAATTAAGAGACACAGCCACACAGGAAACACTGAATAGATTCTCTTCCTTCAATGGGTAGCATATATACTTTACATTCTCTCACCTATTCAGGTGTGCAGTTTCACCTTCCACACTCCTAACCTTCATAAACTACCAGCTTCACTATTATCTTCTCTTTTTCAATAGGAAAGGGGTTGAAACTGTAGTTACCTTAGCTACATACATTATCACTACCACACCATTCTGATGATAAAGAGTTAAAGGTAGCTCTTAATTTACTTGGCAACTTGATTAAAACCAAAAAACATCTTTACTTGATAGGGTCAAAAATATCACTCAGTGTTTAAGAAGAGATTTGTCCAGGACATGAAACACACCAATAATTTAAGTTGTAATAAGTCAAAAACCTACATATTGTGAGCTCTGAACAGCTCCAGTTAGGCAACAGGGTCAAGATGGTATTTTTGGAATGCACTTTAAAACAATGGTCCTGAAGACACAAAAATGCCATTTCATAGTTATTTTTCCTTTGAGCTATCTGTCCTGATATTCAGCCCATATCTAATCAGGACCAGCAGCATTCAAATGCAGATGGTTCCCCCTACAGCAAAAAGTTGTCTCTCATACCAGCCACTGTCCTCACACACCACTATGCTAATTAGATTTAGGGAAAAAAAAAAGTTGTGCAAAAACATTAGTAGAGCTGGAGAAGCTGGCTCCTCTAGACACTATCATCAGACTGTAGCCAAAATAAGCACAATTATAAAAGCTTTTCCTCTCCTGGTAAGATTATACAGTCAAAGTGAACCCATTCCCCTCCTGCCTCAAATAAGAGAAGTATTACATATAGAGAAGTGGCCATATTTAGAATACTTTCAAATATTTCACAGGAAAGCTCTTTTAAAAAAAAAAAGTTTGAGCTAACATTTAATCTTACATTAATTAAGTGAATTTTATGTATTTGACAGCATTTGAAGCCATCTCCTACAGAGCAGACTGAACTTTATGCAACAGGAGGGGGTTTTGGTGTATGACATTGCAAAGCACAGAAATGTTGTCTGAGTTTCACTGATGGGAAGTCAGATCTTACTACAGTAAAGTAGCTTAATTTTTAACTTTAGGTACCAAACAAAAATGCTAACTGCCTAAAAAGTTTGCTGTTCTGAAGTGATAGTTTCAGGGTCTGAAAACAATGCAGTCAGAACAAAACCTCTGTAAGTTTCGATCCGCTCATACGTGCACTTTAATCATCTGCATGTTCACTACTATATCAGAATAAACAAACAGGTCAAAATAAACTCAGATGAAATGGCAGCAGCATCACTAGGGATGCGTACCACTTGTTTCACATCAACTTTACATCACTAGCATATTAACATTTTTATTTGTTCAAGAGAAGTACCGGTTGTTGTTAGAGCAGTGCTGGAAGACTGATGGATTTAAAAGACAGAATTTGTAGTAGAATTAATATTTTCAGGGTTTTCCCCATTGCTGCACAGCTTTTATCAGTAAGAAATGTGCTCCTGAATCTATTATCAAATGCCCAGAACTTAGAAAAAGGAACGCTAAAATGACAGTGTAGACAGTTTAAAATTACAAATGACTACAGCAATGTCAAAACATTAACAGTATCAAGAGACCTGGTTTAGCTTTTCTGTCTTTTCAATGACTGCAACATGGATATTCGGGGTATATATACACCTTTGAACTTGTTTCTCATGTCCATTTTAAGGAAAACACTGCTCTCCCCTCTTCAGCACCCGTAAGTCAGCCGACAGATCAGCCAAGGTATTGATCCGACCAGGAGAACCCACTCCTTCCCCCTCAAAAGGAGCTCCCCCCCTTTAACCCGCGACACTCGGAGGGTGCCGCGGCAGCAGCGCCCCCTGGCGGCCGGCCGTGCCCGCTCTCCCGCGGAGCCCCGGCCGCCGCCGGACGGGGGAGAGCGCCCTAATTCCCCGGGGCTGCGGGCGGAGCGGGCTGCGGCTCCGGGCACTCGGGCCCTGCACGGGAGGGGGAAGGCTCAGCGGCAGTAAACCCCTCCACAGACTGACAAGTCGGGACCGCCCTTACTCAGGCCAGTATGGAATACTGATTGCAATCCATTTTTCACGCTAAAAGCCGTATTAAACCATGCATTTTGCACATCTTTGATAGCAGTCCGCCCTTACTTCCCAGGCATAGCCTGACCCGGACCCCAAATCTGTCAGAGTACTGGAGCAACCAAGACGATTGCTCACTGAAGGCACTGCGACTACACTTTTCTACCTCTCCCTCTATGCAGGCAGCATTCAATTCACCCATCCTAGGAATGGGAGCGAGTCTTCACTCCCCAATCAGTTTGTTTGGGTTTTTGACTGGGTTTTTCTAGGTGGGCTTTAGGTTCGTTTGGGGGTTTTGTTGGTTTGGTTTTTTTAAGGGTTGTATAACATTAAGCTGTACTCAAAGAAATGCCAAAAAATAAAGAACAGCAGAAAGCGCATTAGCACAGAACCCTCCCAAATGCAAATCTATGTAAGTGCTCTTTCACATGTTTCCACAAGTTAATGCTAGCCTTGACTGAGTCATCTGGATTGAAGAGACTTTTGCAATTTTCAAGTTAAGGAGTATTCAAATTTTCAGACTGATACAAGAAACACAGAATAGAGCAGTCCAAACTTTTTAATCCCACAGAAGAGACATCTGAAATATAGTAAAGCATTTTGGTATTCTAGAAATGTATTTAATTGATTGCCTAAAAGTTTTGAACAGCTGGTTTACATTCCCCCACCAATGTACATAAACCAATACTACAATTTCTAAGACCAGTAACATACATAAAAATGGAACTAATAAAGCACTGTTACTCAGATCTCCACCTAAAAACAGATAAGAGCCATGTTACTATATCAGTACATGTTATAAAGTACTTTTATGCACCCAGTGCAAATTGTTTTCTGGTCCTTTTAAACATACACTTTAAAGGAATTTTAAAAACAATGAAGTTACACAGAGGACTGAAAGACAGAGGATGCTGAATCCACCTCTGTTTCCAGTACCTACAAAGTGACTTGTATGAAATATAGGATTCCTTTATTTTGTTCCTCCTTTCCGTAATGCCTTGCAGTCCCAACTTCTTCCCTTTGCCCCTTATTTCTAGTTTTCAAGGCTTTTGTGCTTTCCCTCCTGTCCTCTCTTAGCCTTATCAAGATATTTCACCTAGTTTCCACACCAGAATTCCACTCTCCTGGATATCAGACTTCCTTCACTCTGCCTCTTCTTTCCAGCTGTCTTGGGGGCAAGTCAGTCCAGAGACCTCTACGTCACTCTTTTGGAAGGAGAGCAGATCACAGAAGCACCCTTATGCCAGAAAGCAGTAACAGGGACAACAGATACTCAAGCTACAAGCAGTTTCAGAACTACCTCAGTTGTACTAAGCAGAAAACAAGCAAACATCAACCTAGGTTTTTTTTGGGGGTGGAGGAAGAGCGCAACAGACCTAAATCCAAGCAACTGTCACTAGAACATTTGCTGAAGTTTTAGAAGTTATGCTCTGATATTAACACACAAGACTAGCAGAAGTAGCACAGAGCCTTCCAGTCATTGTTAACAAAAGTGTAAGAGTACCACCCATTCTGTAAACATTAAAAAAAAAGGTCACCCATAATTGTTTAAGCACTGGGAAATAAGAAAAAAAAAAGACTTAGGAACTTCAAGCAGTAATGAGACCTTCCTTCTCCTACAAGTGTGAAACACATCAGATTCAAGCTCATCCTATTTTATTCAAAAGCACTTCACAAATGTTATAGGCAAGACCACTATAAATCACAGATACGTCTAGTTCACTGTAACATTTCTCCAGTGAATGCTAATTAAGTATTTGAATTAGACAGCCTTTTAAAAGAGGTAAATAATTTGGTTAGAAATCTTCTCCTCTTTTAGTTGTAGCTTTCGGTTTCTTAATTCGAGAACTGTTTGTTAGGGGTTTTTAAAGCATGAATGACTTTTCAAGGAGTCAGTTTCTCTGCACTCCCTCTACAAGTAAGCTTTAAATGATAGTCTTTCAGATAGTATAATTAAATACTTGTAGTATCACACATATTACAACTCCAGTAGCTGGCAATTATACAAGCCTTTACACGAGACCAGACAGCTAAGAATTATGAATGAAAAGATTGCTTACTCAATATATGCAAACTTACAGACCACTTATTAAAAATTAAGAAGGGAAAAATTCCAAATTTGGTCCTCCTTTTTTAAACTACATGATAAAATAAAGTATATTTAAGAAAGGGTGTAACAGTGGACCAAGGGAACACATAGCAGAGGCACTTCACTATTAAACATGTGCTTAGAAGTAGGAGAGAGACAGCTACATTAAGCAGACCCTCTCTACACTAAACAGCCCACTTCAATTAATAAAACAAACAAGCTGTTTCTTCACAGCTTCTTCCCTTCATCTGGAGGTATCCGCACAGAGCAGCGTAGCTTCAATACAACCGAGACAGCTGAGAGGAGTCGTCTTTCCAAAGTAAGTTGCAGCCTCGTGCAAAGTTTCATCGCTTTACCCCTCCAGCAGACAAGTATTTTACTTACGAGACCGCCCGCCAAATCCGAGGAACGGCTTCCCGGTTTACCGAGGAGGGCTGTCCCACGCTCCACGCGCGATCGCGCTGCCCCTCCCCGGCTGCAGGGACCCCCCCGCCCGGGGCGCCCCGCGGCCAACCCGCTCCAGACCCGCCACCGCCGAGAGGCGCACACGCGGGACGGGACCCGGAGGCGAAGCCGGCGGCTCCCCAGCCACCGACCCGGCGGTTCCCGGTCCACCCGCCGCCGCGGGGCGGCCGCCTGGCAGCACGCCCCTGCCCCTCCGCCCCGGGCGGGAAGGACCGTCCCCGCCGGGCACTATGGCGCGCTCAGCCCGGCCGGGTCGGGAGGGGACGCGCGAGAAGCCGCGGCGCCTCACGCCGGTCTCCGAGCAGCGGGCGGGGGCGGCCGGAACCATTCGGGCGGGAAAGCGGGCCCGAGGCCGTCGGGAAGCTGAGGGAGCGCGGGCGGCGGCCGGGAGAGGGGCGGCGGTACTCACCCGCCCGGAGGCAGCGCCGCGGTTCCTGGCGCCCAGAGGCGTGGGCTCCCGCTCCTCGTCGCTGGAGAAGTCGGGCTGCGCGGCGACGGCGGCGGGCGGGTTGCGGGCGGTGAGGTGCTGCAGGTAGAGCTGCACGTACACGTCCTTGCGCTGCTCGCCGCCCGGCAGGCTCACATTGTTCGCGATCAGCTCGCTCTTCAGCTTCTCCTTGGTCAGCACCGACGGATCGGCCAGGAACTCGGGCATCGCCGCCGGCCGCCACCGCCGCCGCCCTCCCGGGAGAGGCACCAACAAAGCGCGGGGAGAAGGGGCGGGGGGGAGGAGGAGAGGAAGGAGGAGGAGGAGGAGTAGAAGAAGACTCGCCTGCCCCGCGCCAGGGACCCAGCTCCACAGCGGGCGGACGCACACACCGAGCGCTTCGCCCAACCGGCAATAAACCGCTCCCCGATTGGCGGGGAAAGGAACGACGCGACCCTACTATTGGCTACCGGGCGGGAGCGAGGAGAGGCGCGCGAGACCCAGCACCGTTAGTGCTTTGCGCGAGGGATAGTAACGCAGTTTAAATTCGGCTCAGGCGGGAGAGGCGCGGGGGGCGGGGCTCGCGAGCGGGAGCGCGCGCTGCCTCAGGCGGTGGCAGCCGCCCCCCCCCCTCCCCCGCCCGGTGTGAAGGGACCCTCGCAACAGCGCGTCCCCTCGTAACGGTACCGCCAGGGTCTTCCCAGGGTCTCCCTTCCCGGCGATGAGGAAGCGGCAGGCTGTTTTCCTCGGGCGGGCGAGGAGCGGGAGCGCCTCGCTGGGGTGGCGGTTCGGGCCCGGCGTCGCGCCTGTGAGTTGAGGGGCGGTTCGGGATCTCCCGGTAACCTGCTGTGATCCCGGTGACCTGGTGTGACACCTGCCAGCCTCAGGCACCGGCTGCCCTGCCGCGATCGGCTGGCAGAGCTGGCCGCCGGCCTCCCTTCGGTTTGCTGAGGCGGCTGCCGCGGGTTTCCTCACAGGGTGCCCGAACCTGTCGCCGGTCAGGGGCTAAACTTCACGGAAGATGTTGACAGGCTTAAGAAACCCAACCGGGAAACTCGTAGCGTTTTCTGTTAGCGCGACTGTTGCCGTTGTGATGACTTATACGTCAAAAAAAACCAAACCAAACCAAACCAAAACAAACCCAACCTGAATAGTTTCTGTAGCATTGCAAAATTTGAAGGGCGTGTAGTTATTTTATTGAAGTTTCACAAGTGTGTTCCTGGTGGGGAAGTAGGACTGAGTTTAATACTGCATGATCTTTAAACAAGTGAGTTAAATCTTTCAGTGTTTACACATTGCTCGCTGGGAACACGCACTGCTATAAATTTTGCTGTAGTTTATGATGGGAACAGTTTAATGTACAGCTCTGACCATATATCCTATGCTTTTGATATATTGCAGCATCAGAGGTAAGAACTGAAATGTGGATATTTTAATTTGCCCATCAATCATGGACATGAAACGGGACTGTTGGTGTTGGCACCCACTCCTCTTTACGTTCCAAAAAGAGCTTTCAATTGCTGTTAAGGAAAAGAATTTCCCCTGTTTTGATTTGCTCCATCACTAAATATGGTGACTGTCATTCCTGTTTACCTTGCCATTACCACAGTATCAGTGAGATGAAGATGCTGAGGGTTGCTTTTGTGGAAGATAATTTCAAGGCAATTTAAGGAGCCACCCACAAGAAGCCTGATGCTTCCAACTGAGGAATTGGTGTGGTGTAACGAAGTATTTAATACAAGGTAGAAGCCTAGCTTGGGGAATTTAACTTAACCTTGTAGTGCAAGCGGTGATAATGAGGTGGTCACCGTCTGCAGTTCATTATAATTTATATCTGAAAGTATTTGGGTTTTGGTGTTGTATATACTTTACCTGTTCAGTTAAAGTTTACCTGATAGTGAGGCTGAACAGTGAGACATCTTCCCTCCATTGACAGCATATGCATACAAAGCAAATATTTATATATCAATGTGGATTGAGTAGCACTTACAAACCTGAACAGAACTAATTTGATGGTTCTGTTTATTTTTCAGCATATCTTACACAAAGTTCTTCCTGGAACATGGGTATCACGTCACAAGTGTTTTGGAAACGCTTAAAGGAAATTGAATCCTCTCCAAATTTGATAGTAATAACTTCAAGTGTAGATAGGATGTTTCACCTTGAAAAGCCTGTAGGAGCTTTGGAAAATAGATCCTTCCCCCATGTTTAAGAATTTGCATCTTATTCAGATACGAAGCCAGTTGCAGACAGACACAGCATACTTCAGAAAGGCAGCAGCAGGGAGATGCTTCAGCTGCCGTACTAATGTAAAAACTAACAACCTCCATTTGTATCAAGTAAAAAATATTTTAGAGCACTGTAAGGGGGAACTGGGTCTGGGAAATTTTAACCAAAGTTAACAGTGGAAATGTAATATAAAAAAAATGGTGCAGACACCATCTAACATCCTCACGAACAATAATGATACTAGACTTCAGGCCTGAAGCTTGTCTTCTGACACTGCTTCTTAGAGGGGTGCAGCTGCCATTTGCATCTCATTGTACTGTTTGGAATATGCAATACAGCTGGGCCTCACTGTTCTTGCGAGTGACCCTTAGGAGTGGAAGGAACTGTTGAGCTTGAAGTCAGTTTACACCTTTCAATCCGAGTACGTTGATGGTAAATCTGGTTTTAATGCATTAAGCGTAGCATAAAAAATGCAACGGTAATATGGTATTAGGTAGTAAATTGCTGCAAAGTTACACTCTCAGTTTGGCTTTGGTCATAACAAACGGTTGGGCTAACTGGCTTTATGTTGGATCTGTGTATTTTGTCGTCTTACTGTCAGGCAAAACTGTGGTAGAAGCATAAATACAGCAGAAACTCAGCATTGTATATTTTAGCTAATTGTTCAAAATCCAATACCGTGGTTGTGGAACCACAGCCTCAGATAACATACACTGACATAACTCCCTTGCACAGATACTGGACTATTACCTTTAGCTGTTTACAAAGTGAGGAAACCTAAAAAAGCATTGTATAACACTTTAGTGTCACCCCGTTTCAGGGCAGTAGACCTCCCTGGAAAGTGAAGTCCACAAAAAAGTCCTTTGCACACAATTGTCCTTTATCACCTGGCTCTACACTCTTCATTGTCACTCCTTGGGAGGAACGGGTATTCTCTAGGCAAGGTAAAGACAAGGAAAGTAGTATGAAGAAGCACCAAAATGTGCCCGTATATAATGATTTACACTGGAACCTGCAATTGTCACCACAACTAGATCTTAATACAGCTGAGGATCTGCACCTTTATTGTTTTTTTTGTTTGAAGGAAAGAAAGCTTGCATTTTGTAGCCTAATGCAGCAGTCAAAGGGGATAAGGGAACAAGTTCATTATGAATGGGCTCAGAAGATCTTTCTGATGTTTTTACAGGGGAAAGAAAAAACCTTGATGTGGTCCATATGCCTATTAGACAACTTGCATCTTAAATGTTGGAGTACAAAACTATTTTTTTGCCGTGCCTTTTGTGAAGCATTCCAGTACTTAAACGTTTATCCCTAGCAGCAAGTTCTAGTGTTCAAAGACCAGAATACCCGCCCCTTCCAGAGAAACAGGTAGTCACATTCTACCTCTTGTCAGTATAAATGGTGACAGAAAGAGTGCAAATGGTGTGAGAATATGACCATTTTCAGTGGTTGAAAAACTGCTGTAAGCTTGCCTAAAAATGTGAAATATGCTGAAAGTAGACGCCAAAAATCCTTCCTTTGTAGGACCCTTCCAAATGCCTGGAATTTGTTAGCTTTCCTGAGCGTGAGAAGGAGATTTTTGGTCATATAGTCGTCCTTGACATGAAAACACTGAATGCCTTCTAAATGATCTCAAATTTCCGGCTTTGAGTTTCCCCAACTTCCCCTAACTTCTAATGCCACCCATAAAAATGAGACAGGTAGTTTATTTTGCACTAACGGAAAAAATGAATTTTCTTTATCTGCATGTTCAAAAAAGTATCCTAAATTCAGTGGAGGGTTTGCATAACATTTAATCTGCAACGAGGCATCGATGTATAATTTGCATTCACATGTAACATTTGCCTCATACTACATAATAAAATCGTGAAGGCTATAAACTAGTTCATGGCAAAGGCATTTAAGGAAGTGCTACAGACGTGCCGTTGTCTTAGACTGAGCTGATATGGAAATCTTGTTAGCTAAAGGAAATGTAAAAAAACTATATGAACTAGTAATTCAGTCTTGGTGCACAGTGAGTTTCACAATGAAAATAATACCCCCTCTGAGGAAGGCAATAGAAACTGGAAAGCGGTTACTATAAATAAAATAAGCAGCTGCCTAATCATCATGGCACGGTGTAACTGTACTTTCTAGGATCACTCATTTCTTCTCCATGCTCTTGATTAATTTAGAAAAACTAGGTGGCTTTTTAACAAGCTCTAGCTCTCTTATCAGAAATGTCTTTTTAAGCATAATCCAAGTAGAAATGGGAAAATGGTAAGAAAAAAGTGTGCCTTACTATAATGGAGTATATTGCTTCTAGAGCAATTCTCTTGTAGAAAAAGTTACAGCTCCTGCTGAATTTGCTGATGGATGTAGTTCTACCAGGGGGCCAGGCCAGGTGACCTGTCCTGTCACCTGTCCCTGTCACCCACTGGGGAACGCTGCCAGTTTGTGCCGCCCGCGGTGGCAAAGGGAGGGACGGGCAGTCCCCCTTTGCTGTGAGGGCAGGGGCACCCAGGGACATTGCCATTGACAAAGGCCTGACCAACAAGGGCTGAAAACAGACGTATCTGCTCCTAGTTAAGTACACTGACAGGCATGAAGCGAAACGGACAGTTTACAGGGCAGTTTCCCACACTGAATCATTTCCAAACGAGCATTATTCGGGTATCTATTTTTATCACATACGGACAGAGGTAGTGCAGAAGCTATATTTACCATATGTAAGCTATTACTTCAGCTCCAAGATTTTTAGAACCTTATGCGGATTTAAGTTGTTGTCTATATTTAGCTAGTAATAACTTAACAAGAAAAAAATCATCCGAGTTAACACATCAGTCGGGTTACAAAATGAAGTATTTAGAAGTTAGAAAGGGACAAAAGCACCGAAGCACACGTCCTGTAGAGATGCTGGTGAGAAAAAAACACCCACCAGCGTACTTGAGTGCCTCAGAATTAATGGAGTCAACTCAACAAAAGATCTGCGAGATTAAGGAGAATTATTATCCCCATTTTGCTGATAGGAAATTGCGAGGGCGAGTTTGCACGTAGCTGTGGCGCGTTTAATTATTTCATTGAATTTTGAAACATCACTAGATTATCTTGATCTAGGCTCTCCCTCCAAAAATCAAGTGACAAGAAATTTAACCGAATCATTGGTAGTTGTGGTTGTTGCTGGAAAGGGATGATCCTGTTCTGTATCCCGTCCCAGGCCGTGTGCTCCTGGCGCTTTCCTTGTGTCGGATCTAGTGGCTGTG